TAGACGAAGACGCTGCAAAGCAAAAATGACCAGGCTCTTTATTCAAGTACACAGCGAATAGACAACGACAAAAAATGAATGCCCGGCCAGTAGGGGGCAGTGGAACATTACAGCACACATGACCCCCAGCAGTAGAACCCCTTCCTCAACAACATAAGTAAGTAAGTAAGCTTTTATTTATATACCGCCTTTCACAGACCAGAGTCACAAAGCGGTTTACAATTGTTATTTTTTGGGCATTTGTCTCTCACTCCACACAGAGATGGGAGCGGGGTCGCCAGTACAGGAGGCGCATGCCAGACCTATTGTACATATTTTTAGTGGTAGGGGAAACCGGAGTACCCGGAGGAAACCTACGCAGACACGGGGAGAACATGCAAACTCCACTCAGAAAGGCCCTGGTCCGGCCGGGATTCGAACCCAGGACCTTCTTGCTGAGAGGCGAGAGTGCTATCCACTCAGCCACCGTGCCGCCGTCCTCAGGCCGCCGTAAAGACGTGAAAAAATGCACCAACATCATTCTGCCTTTAACAGTAGCTGTGAAAATGGAAACGGAAACTAGCTTTGAGTGGTTTCATTTGGATGAACGAAGGAGTAGGATTCTCCTTTGTGTAGCACTCGAAGCACGCGTAGCTGTGGAACCCACCGCCGTTGTTGTTTCTGTTTGTGCTCAGCCCCCGAGCACAAACAGCGTATCTGAGCTGTTCCACTCTGGAGGCTGTTTCTCAATGCTTGCATTTTCACCTGAAACATCGTCTCCATGTAAACAGGAGGCACAATTTAAAGAATCCCCACAAAATCCGACCTTCATGAAAGCTGTAGATGCTCTGTCAGCTGAGGTTGAGCTGTTTTAGTTTACATTGAGTTCTATGGGGAACATTTCTGCGTAGCCCACGTGAATTTAGTCTTGTTTAGTCTGCAGTACCGCGAGAATCCAGTGAGCCTGTGGGTCTTTCAGCTCCAAGCTAGTAATACCCCATCCAGATATTATTATAGACACATGGTAAGTTAACAATGATTTTGAATACTAAAATTAGGGCTGTCAAACAATTAAAATGTTTTAGTTGATTAATCGCGTAGGAATGGTGAGTTAACTCACCATTAATCGCATCTTTAACATTCGATTTCAAATCCACTCCAGTTGAAGTTAAATAAGATTATCAAATATAATGACACATTTTCATTCATACCAAATGTACTTAAATCTGTTAGATTTGCTCACAACCTTTTACTTTTGGGCACAACCAAAATTAGCTGTTAATGAAAGGGGAAAATGTACATACCCCAGCTTTAATTTAGCGAGTTTAGTTTAGTTATCAGGAGGAGACACGGTATTTGCGTGCACAGGTTACGAACAGGTTGCAAAGACACGAACACAACATGCAGAGAATAGTCCTGTGGCGTGTATGGTCTTACTGTATGTATGTATGACCACATTACCGCAGCTGCGTTCAGCTCACAGCCGCTAACAACCAGAGCGGCCGCAGCCCCGGTGTGCCCGCAAAGGCGGACTTCAGTTCATAGACTGTAGCCCCGCGGTCACGCGCATATTCTTTTAAAACTTGAATTCCCAGAGACCTGCTCTGTTGCCGTCTCTCACAGGCATGTGTATGCGGCATTCTGAGTGATATTATGGATAACTGCAGCGGGTCATTCGGACATGCTTTAATGCGTTAATTTTTTTTTTTTATTACTCTTCTCATCTCTGCAGAAAAGTCACATTAGACCAGAAGAAGCAGAAGTTTGTGCCAAACTTCAATCAAAATCTGTGACACCTACAAACAACACATGTCTTCGTCCATCTGTCTTTGAGAATCAAAAAGTAAAGTTTTAGATGTAACAGAAGCATCAAACACATGTGAAGAGTGGGGCGCAGCCAATTGGTAGAAACAATTATTTTCCCAACAATGCTTGCACAATTGCCGTCACAGACTTTCATGTAGCACACACCCAGACATCCTTATAGACGCCATTTGAACAACTTTTCATTATTGAAAATATATTTTTAAAACCAACACAAAGCATGAAAGCACAAGACATAATAACATGACATATTTTTTTTAAATACAAAATTTGAAAATTAGAGCAAAGTATGCACTGATACGATACTGGAAGCCGATATTGGTCCAGTTTTTATTTTGTTGGGACAGTGCGTGTAAACAAACTCTCTGGCCTCATCATTTCATTCAAATTAAATCTGACTTTTTAGACTGATACGATTCCAAAGTGTTTGGACACTATTGGACCAATTTTGTTTGCTGTGAGTGTAGAAAAATATTGCTTTAACTTAACTTTCAAGCCACAAAATTTATAAAATTTTATTTCTTTATTTAATGCATCTAAAATGAATTTAAAAAAGTTAATTAACTGAAACTAATTTTGTCCTAATTAATCATGAACAATTTCTCAGATAATATTTTTTATCAATTACCAGCCCTAAATATAACTAGTCCCTCACTCTAAAAACATGTTTGGTTCTTTCACTAGTTTTCACAAACATGTGATTGGCCTCTGTCACATCTTTGGACTTGCTTTTTCAGACAGAGAAGTGACAAAGCGAGGACCACCCTCACTCAGCCAATCAGCTCTCAGGCCCCGTTTGGATGGAGACGCTGCAAAGATGCTGCAGAACAATTAGCCAAAATGTCCAAGCTCCTGAGCGTTTAGACAACTACAGAAAACAATTAGTTCTAGCGCACGGCCAGTAGTGGGCAGTGCAACGCTACAACGCGACACACACGACCCCTTCCTCAACAACATCCTCCTCAGGCGTGAAAGAATGCACCAACACCATTCTGCCTTTAACAGCAGCTGCGAAAATGGAAACCAAAACCACAGATTCACGTGATTTTGTTTGGACGAACAAATGTCCAAATGTACGTGTGGGGAAGTGATGAGGTCATAGCAGGCAGAGAATTCACACCTTTTTATCTGTTCTGTTCTACTCTGGAGGCTGTTTCTCAACGTTTGTGTCTTCACCTGAAACACCGTCTTTGTGTAAACAGGAGGCCAAACTGAAACTAACATTTTACTGTCTCATTGTCTCATTGTCTAAAAGGGGCCTCAGTCAGATAGTGATGAAGACAGATAAAATAGTTGTGTGGGGTGAATTGTTTCTTGTTACTTTCACAAGACTCTCTCTGTTGTACTTTCTGTTATTATTTCACATTATTTATTTCCAAAGCAGGATCGGCCCATCCCTAATCAGAGCATGTATTTTGAAGGTGGCACAGAGGGATCCAGTTTCCATGTGGCTGTTTGGGTCACGCTGATGTGATTGGCACGTCGTGAGCTCATGAATCATTCATGATCAGGGCTTGAGTTGTGCCACAAATGATTGAACAAGTTCCTGCTGCAAAAGTGTGACCCCTCTGCTCTCCAGCCGACGATTCATCCACTGCAGCAAGATTACATTTGTCTCTTTGTTACTTACTTATTCACAAAATGGACACATTGAATTAAAACAAGAACAACAAAAAATCCTCCTTCAAACCGAAAAAGCAGAAAGGTAAAAGGGGACAAGATAGGGAATTGCTTGTGCTTGACTTGATTTGTGGTCCGAAGAAAATAATTAGGTGAGATTTGGAAAGTTTACAAGAAGGCAGCAGTGGCACTAAAGCATTTGGTTTGCAGCAAAGGTTGTTGTTAAAAGCTTCCAGGGCGAGAAGGACAAATCGATGATAAAAGAAGCAATTAAAATGCCTTTGAACAATAATTGGGTAATAATATGACCACATCCAGCATTGGTCACTGTCAACTGAGAATACTGTAAATGAACTAGGTTTTTAATTTGGTTTAGAAGAAGAAAGTGTCTAACAAACCAAAATGAAAAAAAGTGATGAAAAATAAGTCAAAAATTGCTCATTTTGCTACATGTATCTTAATTTGAGCACATTTTACTGCCTTAAAACGTACAAGAAATGTCTTCCTTGTAATGAGAAAATAAGAAAGCAGTTCTTGAAATTCGGCTACATGGCTTTGTCTCATTGGTATATCTGGTTCTAAGACAGTCAGAATGTACTCAAAATAAGGTAAAAAACAAACAAACACTTGATTCAAGCAATTGTTACCTCACATTTTAAAATCATTTGCAGGGATAGTGGAAAAAACCAGGAGAAGCCACAATCAAAAGCCAGGTTTAAAAGATAGATATATACTTTATGGATCCCAAAGGAAAGGAAAAGGACAACGAATATGGCCAGTCCTGTAATAATCTTTAAAAGGTTAAGGTGAAGTTGATTTGTTTTCCATTTTTTGACCAATGACTTTCCTATGAGCACTTGTTTTGGTGATTCTCTGCGCGTTTTTGGCAGATCTCAGAATCACAGTCAAGCATCTCCGTCCTCTTCCACCTGACCTCCAGCGCCTGCGTCTCCTTTCCGTCATTTCTCAGTGGCAGGATTTTGGCTCACGCTGCGTTTGGGACGGGTCATCTCTGCTCATTGATCACTCGGCGGCCCACAGGGGCACTTGGCTCTCCTTATGGCGGCCAGAGTCACCTAATCAGTCCATTGAGACTGATTGAACTAAATGAGTGAACTATCATCATTCAAGAGCCAGTTTGACGCGCTCTCTGTCGCCAAAAGGTCAAACTATGAGTCACCTGTTACCACCGATATACTGCCGTGAAGCGATGAATTTGTGGAGCGGTGCAATTTTATGAGTAACGTTTTGATTGTCGAGTAATCTGAGGACAAAGTGGGAAAGTGGATATATTGCTCAAAACCTGTGCGCCAATAAATGGAGTGATTTGTTCAAGCCAAAAAAAACAAAAACAAATTGTGTATCATTTCATAATTTAAAGCTGAAACCGTACATGTGTTTGAGATTTTTTTAGTACTCATGGACAAGGTCAGATAAATCGCTGGTGTTTGAGGCAGCTGCCAGTGACATATGTGCTGCAAAAGCAACATGCGCAACTTGCTCATGAGATGTGAGCCAAACAAAACAGTCCAAACACAGACTGTACAGATCAGACCAAAATATAAAACTTTTCTTACCTGGCAGGCCAAGACAGAGAAGGGCACTGTAGTAGATGACAGGCAGCGGTCCGAGCGGGCACCCCTGCATGACCTCCGGGGGAAACTGCTCAGGACTCCAGCTGCCGTTCATGGTCAGAACAGGAAAGATGTGACTGTGCTCCATGGCTGTCTTGAAAACGGTGTGATTTTTTGGGTCTCGATCCTCTTCCTTTAGCTGAGCTCAGTGTCTAGAAGCAAACTGCCTCGGAGCCGGTGGCATAAGGCAGAGAGGGTGCTCTGTCCTTGGGTGCAGATCAGCATGAGTGTGTGAAGACTTGTGGAGGGTGAATGGGAAATAATGGCACAGACAAAAGGCATGAGGAGGAAGAAGAGATGCAGGGGATATGGGATGTGCTTGTAGGGAATGGAGGGAAGAGGAGGTGAGTGTGGAGGGAAGTGAGGAGACGATGGAGCCGGCGATGGTCCACAGCATCTCAGGGAGGGGCGGGTGAGGAGGAGGAGGAGGGGCAGCCGTGAGCGAGCGGCTGAGAGGAAGAGAGAGAGGCATGCTTGGAGACTATGGACCAGGGGTGTCAAATTCATTTTGTACGGGGGAAATTCACAAACGTAACAACTGGTTGGGGCCAGTGGTTTACCTTTACTATCTTATTTATTTTTATTATTTTTTCTGAGATGAGATTTGGGTATTATTTTCTAGTAGATTTGAATGCAATCACAACTGGGCCAAATATCAAAATGATGTAATTACATTTCTGTGAACATTCTGTTCACTGTGTTCATGGACAGAATTTCTAGGCGCAGCCAGGGGTCGGAGGGGGTCCGGTTCGGGGACCACAGGATTTCATCTCTGCTGTTTGCAGACGATGTTGTCCTGTTGGCTCCAACGAACCAGGACCTGCAGCATGCACTGGGACGGTTTGCAGCCGAGTGTGAAGCGGCTGGGATGAGAATCAGCACCACCAAATCCGAGGCCATGGTGCTCGACCGGAAAAAGGTGCCTTGCCCTCTACAGGTGGGTGGAGAGGTCCTTCCTCAAGTGGAGGAGTTCAAGTATCTCGGGGTCTTGTTCACAAGTGAGGGAAGGATGGAGCGTGAGATTGACAGGCGGATCGGTGCAGCGTGCGCAGTGATGCGGTCGCTGTATCGGTCCGTTGTGGTAAAGAGGGAGCTGAGCCGAAAGGCAAAGCTCTCGATTTACCGGTCAATCTTCGTTCCCTCCCTCACCTATGGTCATGAGCTTTGGGTAATGACCGAAAAACGAGATCGCGGATACAAGCGGTCAAAATGAGCTTCCTCCGCAGAGTGGCTGGGCGCTCCCTTAGAGATAGGGTGAGGAGCTCAGTCACACGGGAGGAGCTCGGAGTAGAGCCGCTGCTGCTTCACGTCGAGAGGAACCAGTTGAGGTGGCTCGGGCATCTGTTCCGGATGCCTCCTGAACGCCTCCCTGGGGAAGTGTTCCGGGCACGTCCCACCGAAGACCCAGGACACAGAGGGACTATGTCTCTCAGCTGGCCTGGGAACACCTTGGGGTCCAACCAGACGAGCTGGAGGAAGTGTGTGGATAGGGAAGTCTGGGCGTCTCTGCTTAGACTGCTGCCCCCGCGACCCGGCAACGAATGAAGCGGAAGAAAATGGAATGGAATGGAATGGTAATTACATTTAATGTAAGACTCATAGTTAAATCTCTTAACTTCTAGTTACATGTTAGTTAACATTCTAACTGAGAAAATAAGCTTTAAAATGAAGTATAACATGCCATGGTATCCCATCACCATCAAATTGCTAGTTGCTGTAATAATGATTATTGAAATTGATTTCCGGAGCCACTAAAAATGGTCTCACAGGCCGGATTTGGCCCATGGGCCTGAGTTTGAGATTCCTGCTAAAGACTGAGACTTTAGTGAAAACAGAATATAATAAAAATATGTGAACAATGAGACAGATTTTGTCTAGGGGCGCATTCACACTTGAGGTTCTGGTTCACTTTGTGCAAAAAAATCTTTATTTGTGGATTTAAAAACCACTAAACCACTGTCACTTCAGTCTGTGTCCAGACCAGACTTACTCGCGCCCTCAGTGTGCAGTTGATTCTTTCAGACTGTGTTTATAAAAGCATCTGGCATAACATTATCTTTGAAGTTTATTCACAAATGTGTGGAACTTTGTGACTGTTTTTGCTTTATTTGAGTTGCTCCAGGGATTGCAGAGAAATCGAGCTCAAACTATGACGAGAAAACTTGTTACCATAGTTTCCAAGGAAGATTTTTCAACTGCCCTCTGCCACAATTTTTGCGATGCCATAAATGCAACCAGTTGAACACACCGACAACAACACAGACATGCTGAAAAACTATTATGGATTTTTTATTGATCTTTGTCAAAGATTCAGTAAAATATGATGGAACAGAGACAACAAAAGCAGATGTTGACCTACAAAACCACTCCTTACCATGTCAGTCCTGTGCCCCACATACCGCTGACTCCCAAACACACAGATGACCTGGAAGATAACATCGAACAACCAGTTTTTATGAATTCATGTGTAAATAGTCACGTGTAAGAGAAAAGTACAATACAAACCTAATGAGCTCCTGTGATGTATGAGTGCAAAGGAATGTGCATGGACCAAAACGCATGAATTAATGATGAATCTCAAACAGGTCGGACGTGCAGCGGCGCTTGTTGTTGCCGAAATACAATTGGATTTATAAACAATATTTGCAATACGTGTTTGATAATCCACCATTCAATAATATACATCATATATATGAGGAGCAGTGGGAGAAATGTTGGTATTTTTTACAATTTTCCATAATCAAAATACAACTAATTTAATATATGTTAGAGTTTTTACTTCTTTCCCACATCATTTTGAGCTGACATAAAGAGAAATAGATTTATAGATACAGTTTAAACTTGTAAATATACCAACACATGGTGAAACTATGGCTAGTACCGTGTATGGTTATATATATTTGCGTGTGTGAGTGGACACTGTAAGCTCAGTCCGCAACATAACAACATGCAAAAGGTCTGCATAAACTAAGGAATGCAAAAATTGTAAATACTTATGAATGTAAAACTTAAAAACTAAAACTGATTAATAAAATCAATCAATCAATTCATCAATCAAAAAACAGTCAATTAATGAACAACCACAAATTATCTTAAGTTAGGTTGTAGAAAAAAATTAAAATAAATCTGTATTATTCAGATGTGTCTTTTAACTGGAGACTTTTTAGAGAATTTTGGGGTGGACAATAGACAAGCTTGATATTTGCAATTACCATGTGTCATAATGGTTATTATTAGATGAGTTGAATAAACAAAATAGAAAAAAATACAAATTTTGTTTTGAATTTGTATAAGACCTATGCTCATAAGTTACGTCAAAAAGTGTTGGTTTGTGGTGTAGTGGTGGGGGGTACAGTGTGAATGGCAACAGTGTGAATAAAAAAATACATTACATAAACAGTATTTAGGTCAAAAGGTCTGTATGTATATAACATTAGAGTCAGTGCTTTTCTCAAGTACAGAGTGGGAGGAATAGGGATTAGAAAATATCTCATTTGTCATGCGGCGCGAACTGTCTGAAGATCCAGCTCAAATGTGCTAATTAACACAACGCTAAGACACTTACAAGTCTTGTCAGAAGGTGTCTGGTCTATGAAAAGTATATCGTGAAGGTAGTCTGCCTAGTTGTGCTCCAGTGATTGAAGATACGGCTTTAAAAGTCACTTTCTACCAATAATATCAGGGCTTTTATAGAGAGCTGAAAATATCGATGTATCCAAATATCGACCTATGAGCTGCGTGTGTTTGTGCTGGAGTGTAACAGTTTTATACACTGGTATGTTGTGGTTCAAAGAATAAGAAAAGAATGACCCGATGAGGGCTGTAACTGTTCTGGTATGGTGTGGATTTTGTTGTTATTTTGTCTTTAGTTCTTTGTGGTTTTTGTTTTACTTTGACTTCACCTATATCTCTCTCTGTCTATATCTCTGTCTCTGTGTGTCTCTGTGTGTCTCTGTGCGTCTCTGTGCGTCTCTGTGCGTCTCTGTGCGTCTCTGTGCGTCTCTGTGCGTCTCTGTGCGTCTCTGTGCGTCTCTGTGCGTCTCTGTGCGTCTCTCTGCGTCTCTCTGCGTCTCTCTGCGTCTCTCTGCGTCTCTCTGCGTCTCTCTGCGTCTCTCTGCGTCTCTCTGCGTCTCTCTGCGTCTCTCTGCGTCTCTCTGCGTCTCTCTGCGTCTCTCTGCGTCTCTCTGCGTCTCTCTGCGTCTCTCTGCGTCTCTCTGCGTCTCTCTGCGTCTCCCTGCGTCTCCCTGCGTCTCCCTGCGTCTCCCTGCGTCTCTCTGCGTCTCCCTGCGTCTCTCTGCGTCTCTCTGCGTCTCTCTGCGTCTCTCTGCGTCTCCCTGCGTCTCCCTGCGTCTCCCTGCGTCTCTCTGCGTCTCTCTGCGTCTCTCTGCGTCTCTCTGCGTCTCCCTGCGTCTCCCTGCGTCTCTCTGCGTCTCTCTGCGTCTCTCTGCGTCTCTCTGCGTCTCTCTGCGTCTCCCTGCGTCTCCCTGCGTCTCTCTGCGTCTCTCTGCGTCTGTCTGCGTCTCCCTGCGTCTCTCTGCTTCTGTATGCGTCTCCCTGCGTCTCCCTGCGTCTCTCTCTGTGTGTCTCTGTGTTTATCTCTGTGTCTCTCTGTGTCTATGTGTGTCTCATTGTGTCTCTATGTGTATCTATGTGCGTCTCTCTGCGTCTCTCTCTGTGTCTCTATGTGTCTCTCTGTGTCTCTATGTGTCTCTATGTGTCTCTATGTGTCTCTATGTGTCTCTCTGTGTCTCTATGTGTCTCTATGTGTCTCTATGTGTCTCTCTGGTCTCTCTGGGTCTCTCTGGGTCTCTCTGGGTCTCTCTGGGTGTCTCTGGGTGTCTCTGGGTGTCTCTGTGTCTCTCTGTGTCTCTCTGTGTTTCTCTGTGTCTCATTGTGTCTCATTGTGTCTCATTGTGTCTCATTGTGTCTCATTGTGTCTATGTGTATCTATGTGTATCTATGTGCGTCTCTCTGCGTCTCTCTGCGTCTCTCTGCGTCTCTCTGCGTCTCTCTGCGTCTCTCTGCGTCTCTCTGCGTCTCTCTGCGTCTCCCTGCGTCTCTCTGCGTCTCTCTGCGTCTCTCTCTGTGTGTCTCTGTGTTTATCTCTGTGTCTCTCTGTGTCTATGTGTGTCTCATTGTGTCTCTATGTGTATCTATGTGCGTCTCTCTGCGTCTCTCTCTGTGTCTCTATGTGTCTCTATGTGTCTCTATGGGTCTCTCTGGGTCTCTCTGGGTCTCTCTGGGTGTCTCTGGGTGTCTCTGGGTGTCTCTGGGTGTCTCTGAGTCTCTCTGGGTCTCTCTGGGTCTCTCTGCGTCTCTCTGCGTCTGTCTGCGTCTGTCTGCGTCTCCCTGCGTCTCCCTGCGTCTCCCAGCGTCTCTCTCTGTGTCTCTATGTGTCTCTCTGGGTCTCTCTGGGTCTCTCTGGGTGTCTCTGGGTGTCTCTGGGTGTCTCTGTGTCTCTCTGTGTCTCTCTGTGTCTATGTGTGTCTCATTGTGTCTCATTGTGTCTCATTGTGTCTCATTGTGTCTCTATGTGTATCTATGTGCGTCTCTCTGCGTCTCTCTGGGTCTCTCTGGGTCTCTCTGGGTCTCTCTGGGTCTCTCTGGGTCTCTCTGGGTCTCTCTGGGTCTCTCTGGGTCTCTCTGGGTCTCTCTGGGTCTCTCTAGGTCTCTCTAGGTCTCTCTATGTCTCTCTATGTCTCTCTGCGTCTTTCTGCGTCTTTCTGCGTCTTTCTGCGTCTTTCTGCGTCTTTCTGCGTCTTTCTGCGTCTTTCTGCGTCTTTCTGCGTCTCTCTGCGTCTCTCTGCGTCTCTCTGCGTCTCTCTGCGTCTCCCTGCGTCTCTCTGCGTCTCTCTGCGTCTCCCTGCGTCTCTCTGCGTCTCTCTGCGTCTCTCTGCGTCTCTCTGCGTATCTCTCTGGTGTACCCTGGTGCTCATCACTATTTGTTGCCGGTCCATTTTTGTTCTTCTGTTTTCCTGGTTTCGTTTGGATATTTTTTGTTTCTTTCATTATTTCTTCTGCATTCCTGCTATTTTGGGTTCCCCATTGATATCTCCACATGACCTTATTGCGTAAATAATATTTTGCACTATATTTCTATTTGTCCTGGTCAAAATATTGTGACAGGATTAATGAAAAGGAAAGAAAATACACACATTGGCCCCATTTAAAAAAATACAAATACAATGTTAGAACATGGTTTAGCCCTAATTGAGACTCACGATTGCAATGGTGGAACTATATCCAACATACTGAATCATGTTTTATAGATGTTCACCATCTGTCCCCAGAGTAGGATGGACTGAGCGAAGCAATAACAAACTAAACTGTGAAAAAACCGCAAATGACAGCTTCTCTAATTTGCCGGTGAACCCCTGTTGGCTGCTGGGTAATGGACCTGTGTAGAGTTTCCCATTATAAGTGACACACAAAATGTTGACACCATTTTGGGGTCAGCTGGAGACAAACAAAACCAGGGCAAGTTTCATTTCAGATCGGTTGTGAGCCAGTAAACAATATGAATGTTTATCGGAGAACGTTTCAACAATGAGGCATGCACTTTCATTTATGCAAGATACTGACAACACAGGAGACGCAATAACATCACATGAATCCTTTACAGATAAGTTTTCCTATTCATACAATCTCCCACTTGCACAACATGTACATTTTCAATATTTTTTTCTATGTTTTTTGGTAGGATAAAAAAAAAAAACAACTTTTAACTTTAGAATTGAACTCTTTTTTTGTTGTTGTCTGGTCTGTTTTTGAGTATGCTGACACACATTTGAATATATATTGAGTTTGCTTTGCTATCATAAATGCCGTTGCCAAGCAGAGCGACGAGAGGAAGAGTCTTTCAAGTACCTCTCATATTCATCTGCTTTTAAGTGTCGTGTTCGTTTAAAAAGCCATCACCTGCATGTCTGCTCTACCTGCCGTCCATCTTGAGGACTGTGCCGGCTTTCGGCTCCAGCGATATCCCTCAAAAGCTGTTGAATGTGGACCTAAAGCTGCCACAGATAGAGCCATTCACAAAGGAAAAGCGCTGGAGGGAAAATTGTGTGGAAGAAATTAAATGGCGCACACAAAAAAAGTCACAAAATGGCCTCAGACGGCGGCTGCTAGATGCTGTTGTACCTATTTCACGAGTTTCAGCTCTTGAAAGGAAGAATGAAAGCTCTGAATTGTCTCATCATGACCTGAGTTGGTTGGTTGAGAAATGAGCGATGCAAAGCCGTGTGCGCCTCAATTAAGTGTTAAATAAAACATGGTGGTGCTGACGTACATTGATCATGGATACGCAGCCTGTGGAGGGAGAAGTCGGTGATTGTTCAAGAGGGAAAAGGCCCCTACAGGGCTCTTGAGTACTTAACGCCACATGATCATTGGTCCTTGTCGCACAAACTCGGTTACCTGCCTTTGGTTAGAATGTGATGCTGTTATCACATCATTGTCACGTGACGATTTTGGTCGCACCTTTTAACCAAACCAGGCCATGTTGTTATTTCATGTTGCTAACCATATTACAGCAGTGATATGTGCGCTTTGAGGTCAGTCAGTCTAAGTGGACCATTACAGTGGTTTGAAGCCTTCTGTGTTATTAAGCCATTACATCATCATCACTACTTGGAGACCTCGTGCAGCCACACACCATAACACACAGGTCTGACCATAAAGCCACAAGTGCTATATTATTGCTGTGAATGGCCGTGACAACATGTAGCACACGAAAAGAAGAGCATGGAGCTGAAAGCCAGACCAAGTTTGAGTCTCTAGCCAGTGCCATGCATCATAAAGTTGACAGGTCTGAAGCTGCATCAATTATGAATGGCTGGGTAATGCCCTAGCTGTGTGTTTAGTATGGCTGTAAAATTGGAGCCTAGATGTGCGTAGGGATGAGGTCAGGCGGGTCACACGTGAGTGCCGCACCGCTCCCTCCTGTCCCCTCAAACCAATTTAGGTCAAACTCTCAGAAAATAATGAGACGAGTGGGAAGAAGAGAGCAGGAGAGGGAGCAATAGGGTTGAGACAATATAAGAGATGTTGAATAAAACAGCACCTGGTGATGGATGAAGAAGAAAAAGACCAATACAAGAATATTCCATTTATACAAGTACAGTCCAGTTCTCTGCAGAATTTCAACAGGCGACACTGCATGTTGAATCGTATCTAATCTAATTCCTCTTATATGACAGCCACAGGAGGAATCACAGCAATCTTCATTTACATAAATCAGAGGATGTGTGAAGGTGGACAGGCCAGAGCATGTGCCCCTTCCTGAGCCCACACTGTAGGTCAGTCTCCCTGGATGAGGCTGGTCAGATCCTGCCCCTGCACTGGGGACCATCTGGTCCGAACAGGCCCTTATAATTTCTCAGTTATTAGACTTGGGAAATGAAAACATTTAGCATGGCTGCAGCTGAGACAAGCCGGCAGCTCAGTCTGTAAAGGGCATTGCAATGGCACCAAAATAAACTAGTGAAGATGTGAAGAATATTACTTCAAATGGTTAAGATCGATTATTTTAGTTGAAGCCGTAGGTTATTCTTAACACCACACTCTTCTCTTCATAATATTCATGTTCAGGTTTGGTGTCACATGTGCACCTGCCTGATGACAGTTAATTTGCAGTGTATTGATCTGTGAAGCCTATACTGTATATTTATTCAGATCACATCACTCCCCCATCCATGGGGCTGCTCATATTCATTCACACATTCCATACACAGTGATGAAAAACTTCTACAGTAGCCACAGCTGTCCTGGGCCACACTGACGGAAGTGCGGCAACAGTTTGAGCCATTGGCCCCTCCGACCACCACTAACCATTCACACTCACTCACTCACACACACACACACATACACACACATTGTAGGCCATGTGGGTGAAGTGTCTTGCCTAAGGACACAACAACTGTTTGCCTCACTGTGGCACCTGGTGTTCCCAGAGCCAGGTCTCCCTTTACAGTACTAACCAGGTGCTGCCCTGCTTAGCTTCAGAGGTATGACGGGATCTGGCTTTAGCATGTTATGGTTATACAAATATAAAACATGACACAATCACAGTCAAACTCCTATGAAAGATCCTCGCACCGCCTTGTAGTGAAGCGCCCTCTGTCGGCAGCCAGACGTCATCACAGGTTAAACGCCTAAACAACACAGATCCATCTCCATCTGCGCCCTGACATTACTCTGGAGTCCTGAGCGCTGAGAAAGGGCCTGTGTGACAGCTGGCGGTACATTTCACATTTGAACCTTTATTCCCGAGTGTTTCCGCCTCATCTGTAGAGGTACGTCAGATATTTCCAACACTATTATTGTTTATTATGAGGCTGCTGCTGCTGCGCCTGTGATCCGCTATGATCTGACCGTAAACAGGCCTCGTCACTTCAGACATCTGCAAAACACACGCTCCAGCTGAAGTCAAACACCAGTCTGCCTTTAGTCCTGTTACATCACTAATAACAGACCAGTGTGAGACCTCTGTTTGTCCTGTCTTTGTTTTGTAGCCACGGAAATGCTAATGCTAGGATGATGGAGCATGGGGAGGATGGAGGGATGGGGGGGTAAAAGCTACGCACTTCGCTGTTTTCTTTATGGGTTAAGTTTAGATTATTTAGATTAAAGTGCTGGAATAGAGCAGCAGCACAGAGATGTAGAAACAGAAATGCTGATTGGTTCTTATAACACACAGGACTCGCCCAATCTAAAGTGTATTCCATATTTTTACAGTATATGATGCGGCCAGTATTGATCTGCAGTCTAATTTGATTTGATTGATTTTTTTTTTTTTCATTTACTCATGCATAGTTTCAAGTTTAGTCCTGGTAAACATTGTTTTCCTTTTAAATTGTGAAAAATCCAAAGAGCATGTTACTCTTATGATACATATGTTATAACAGTAGCAATATTCAATGTGTTTCTTATAGCCCTAAATCACAACAACCTTTGTCTCGCCGTCTATACAAAGTTGGAGATTCACCAGCAACAACATATAAGAAAATCAAACAGTTTGATCACAGAAAATGCAATAATAACAAACACATAGGATCTATTGGTCCATGGGGAGCGGGATGACCAATGTCCAGAGAATGAATAGGGTGAATAGCAATGAACATGACATCTTACTCATACTTCTCTCAGTAAATTGTCTCCATATGCAGCTTGAATGACAATCTATGGTGTTTTTTTTTTTTAAGTTGTGCAATTATTGATTTGAGCGCTCACATTTTGACCTACCCCCTTTCTCTGCCTCTTTATATTGTTGCTAGCAAATGTAGATGTATAGAATATAGATATAAAAATGAACTCTAACACGTGTTGAGATAATGATACATCTTTGCCTATTTTATATGAATATGTAAATGGGAATTGCTATTATATGCCATCAAATCAGTTTCTATTATTAAGCTATTGTGATTGGTATGTATGTTACAACAAAAGGCAGATTAGTAGTCTTCATAATTATACTAAAAGGTCAACAATCAAACAAACCGTATGAAGCCAATTGTGCATGCCTTGCTGATGTTGCGACCTCTTTGCTCCAGGTAATCGTGTCTGCGCTGCTTGACCGAGATGCAGGTCACCATGATTCCCTCGAGCGTGTGCACCTCCCTCCTGCTGCTGCTGCTGGGGACCTGCACCGCGGACCAGACCCCCCACAGAGGTGACAGGCCCACCGTCTCGCACATCAATAATCGGACAATAATTGTAAAAAATGGGAGAAAAGGAGAGCAGCAATTTTACTTTTAACATTTATTTCTTTAGCCCAGGAGAATCTGTGACGGGTTCGACTTGACTTCTCACTAAAGTCTAGTTTATTGTTTTGAGAATAGGGACAATGTACAAAACCATTAGTCTGTATTTAGCTGCAGCTACTTTCAGCCATCTGTAGTACTTGGGCACAGAGATATACACATCACAATCATAACTTACCTCACAAATATTGACAAATGACTAGCTAAAATGTGCTTTTTCAAATGTATAGTAAAATGTTTCAGATAACATCATTACATTTAAGATTTTGCAAAAGATTTTTCACATTTTTTCAAGATTTTACTTTCTTTCTGATTGATGACATCACACTGGGACTGTTATTGAGCAACCAGGTCATAAAATAGGCTAAAATTCCTTCAATGCACTTCAATATTAATACTTTGCATTTGCACAAAGTTTGCACCAAGTTCATTTTTGTGTGATAAAAACGATACTATTTTAAGTAAGTATCTGCCACTCATTTAACCTTATGTAAGACTCAACCTTCTCTCACAAATAAATTAACCTGAATAATACTATCCCATCGACATCTTTCAGTGTTCTTGGAAAGGGAGGAGGCAAGTGCTGTGATTTCCCGTCAGAAGAGAAACCAGCCCTCTAACTTGGAGAAAGAGTGCATGGAAAAGATATGTACTTACGACGAGGCGCACCGCTTCTTCCAAGACACGTATCGCACTGTGAGTTTTGAAAAGTTTATTATGTCTGCGCGGAAACAAACGCAAACAAGTAACAAATGTGTTTCTCCGATCTGGTGCAGGATATATTTTGGTCCGTCTATGTTGGTAAGTGTATTTCAAAGCCACACTGATTTGCAATATCGGCGACTGAGCTCATAATTATGTGGATTTTGTTCAGATGGGGACCAATGTCTCAGCAATCCTTGTCAAAACGGGGCTCTTTGTTCGGACAGTGCTGGAGGCTACGACTGCGTGTGCAAGTCCGGCTTCTCAGGGGCTCATTGTGAAAAAGGTCTGAGAAAATAACACGTTTCAAAGTCAGGTGTGTCATGTTTGTGCGTATTAACCTGTGTGTGGTTTTAGATGAGACTATATGTCCCATGGAGAAGGGCAAGGGCTGCTCCCAGTTCTGTAAGCCCAGCTATAGCTCCTATGAATGTTCCTGTGCTCAGGGCTGGAGGTTGAGTCATACTGACAAGAATAAATGCGAACCAGCAGGTCTGTTTTTACCGATTGGTCACTACTAAATATCTCACTTAAGAGTCACACCTCTTTACAATGCACTATTTCCTCCCTTTTTTAGTTACAAACCCATGTGGTAAGGTGAGCAGCCTGAGCCAATGGGAAAACAGACAGAAAAGCAACAGGGATAACAACTTCTTGCCCCTGACTTGCACCTCCTCAGAGTGCCCCTGGCAGGTAAAAACAAATGCTTTGAAATCACTTAAGCTGTAAAAACTTGTCGTATTTATCTCACAAAATGTCTCTTCCGTCTGTCCGGTTTACAGGCTCTGCTTAAGAGCACGGAGTCTGATGGTTTTTGCAGTGGTGTCATTCTCAAATCAAACATGGTCCTGACTTCAGCTGAATGTGCCAACAAATACAGCGATTTCCAAGTCGTGGTTGGTGAGTTTTAAATCGATTCTTTTTCAGAAATTTGATGCAAAACAAAAAAAGGTGGCACCCTGAATAGAGAGATAGAGGGCTATAAAACCAGGAAAAATTAGAATATGTAAGAGGAATTTAGGGAAACGTTTTAGTTGTGCAAACAGTTTTTTATGTTATACAATTTGGGACGTGCATGTCTTTACACACTTTCTACTAGCTACTATGTTAGCCAATTCACTGTATAGAAATCTCCTGGATTCAGACGGTCATATAACAATTCTACTACTTTGGCGTCTAAGTAATGAAAGTGTATTACATTTTGGCAAAGATACAAAGCCGACAGCATTTGTACTTAAGTCATGTCGGTTTGTCAGTTATGCTTAGGCTTTACAAAAGACATGAGCTGTACTACCAAAGTGACCCTGCTCTGCTCTGACAGGTACACGTAAGACCACGGTGGAAGACGGCGAGCAGACACTGTACGTTAAATTAAAACACATCCACCCTCTCTACATCGCCGGACGTCCTGAACACGACCTGGCTGTGATTGAGCTCCGTGACCCCATTCGGTTTAAGAGAGAGGTAGTGGCCGTGTGTCTGCCCGAGCCCGACTTTGCCGACCACATCCTGGCAGGTGGAGAGTACCCCGCCGTGGTCACAGGGTGGAAGGATTCCCCAGATCAAACTGCCTTCCAGGGGCCGCTGACTCTCAACCAGCTGGCTTATGAGCCCCTCCCACGGTGTTTGGAGACCTACCCCATGATCATGACAAACAAAATGGGCTGCACGTCTCCGAGGGCCAACGCAGACTGCACCGTGAGCTCCGGAAGCCCCCTGCTCACACTGTACCGCGACGTCTTCTTCCTCACGGGGATCGTCACTAAACCTGCCGATGCGGACTGCACCAAGGGTTTCATTTTCCAGAAAGTGTCTCGCCATCTGGACTGGCTCCAACCCTTAATGGGCCCACGTTGAGAGCATCAGGATATTAATGTTTGTGTATTTATGGCCATCCATCTCACGCAGTTAACGTTAATTTGAAATCCATTTAGTCATCCCTCATAGCAGCTCTTTCCTCTACACAGTATATATACCGTATGTATTTAAATAGACCACAAGGGGGCACTCTTGGTATGGATAATATGACGTAGTGGAGGGCGTAATAACAGCCATATATATTTCAGCATGTGTTTGGTGATGTAATCATTCCACTCAATTGAATGATTTAAAGTGACAGTATCTACTCAACGTTTACCTTTAACTTGATCACTGTTTTGAATGTATTAAATCTTTACTCCCCTAAATTATATTGGTCATTTTTGTTCTACGTTATCACTTTAATTGTTTCCTCAACCATTTAGTCACCCCTTGCGTCACTATATCTAGTTCAAGCATGCTTGGAACTGAAATCTACCTCTTTGGGGCATCTCACTTGGTTTTTACCATCAAACTGCATCTCAACCATTTGGTAAATGCCGAAATGATGAAACAATGCTTTCATCATGGAGTGAATGTTAGTCCTAATTGACCTGTCCTACTTTATTTTGTTTGTTAAGTAAAATTGTATATATCTTTCATTGTACACACTTTGTTATTACCATAAAAAGCACCTGCAAGTGGAAGCCAGATCCTGCCAGCCTTCTGGAGCTAAGCAGGGCAGGGCCTGGTTAATACTGTGATGAGAGACCTGCAATGTATCAAACGGTTCTTGTGTCCTTAGGCAAGACACGTCACTCACATATCCTTGCATGAGTCTGGAGTGTGTGTGTGTGTGTGTTGATGATGGTGGTCGGAGGGGCCTTTGGCACAGACTGGTTTCCTTGCTTCCGTCAGTCTGCCCCAGGGCAGCTGTGGCTACAGTAGTAGTTAATTACTACTGCTTGTGTAGTGAAAGAATATTGCGATGCTTTCGTCTGAGTGTCAAAAATAGTGATATTTAAACTGATGCCTTTTTACAAGTATCTGTTATTACAGATACTTGTCATTTTCATCTCCTCATTATATTTTAGATACAAGAATTTTCCATATTTGAGATTTACTATATGATTTACTATGATGCAAGTAAACTGGACCCAAACAATGACAGTGACGTTTGAAGTCATTATTCTGGCCTCTCTTTCCAGCCGCAGACATTAGCTGCTCTGTTGTCTGCCTCTGTTTTCCCACAGCGGCCCACTGCGCTCTTCTCACAACCTCTCGGTGCACAAGGCCAGCACCGTGTCAGTGCAGGACAGAGGGCTCGTAAGAATAAAGAATGGGCGACAACAAAAACCTGGCCTGCCACTTTTGATTGGGCTCCTGAAAGGCATGTCTCCACGAGCAGGGGCCCGGGTCGCTGTTTCCATGGCACTCACCAAGGAGACAAGCTCCTTGTTCCCAAAAATGGCTGTGCTCCTTCAGTGGGACATCCAGGGAGATTTATTTGAGCGCAGATCCTTCCTTCCACAGCCTCAGACTCTGGGCCTGCTTGGTCTATTTGTATTCTCTGACAACTCACAATCACAAGCAAAATGCATGAGGCCCGTGATGAATTAATGTAATGATCTGAATGCTATGTTGTAACCCTAATATACTTTCTCAAACAAAATATATAATTATGAACCACATATAAAATGAATGATGGACACATTTATGATAAAGAAATTCATTGCAATAATCCCACCCATATCTCAAATAACAAATTATCCTATTTTCCTCAGTTTCTCACTATTTGGAAACAAGTTGCAGTCTCTCTAACTCTAATTAGTCTTGCATTATACAAATTGCAGAAAAGCTCATTGCGCAACAAATAATTCCTTCATCCTATGCAAGTTGGATTCAAAGCACAACACTCGACGGAGACAGCAAACGTTTGTTATTTCTTCACCTTAGACAATGTAAGTCAACAAAAACTGATGGCAAATTGAAATAAAATGGACAGAACATGGGCAGAATCATGGACAGTCGGTTAGAAACGATGACCCCCCCCCCCCCCCCCCCTCCCCCCTCTGTCCACAAGGTTCTGTTTTAGGCCCACTATTGTTTTCATCAATGTTCCCTTCAGGTCCTTCCTCCCTGCTGCTGTCAGGCTGTACAACGAGAATGTATGACAAGAACTGCTGAGTCTGTACAAGTGTCAGTGATAATAATTCACTAGTAACTTCATCACTAGTGACTTAACCTGTTATTATTATTACTGATGTTTACTCTGCTCATATTCCCCGCTGCTTAAGAACAATATACACATCTGTAACCAAGTACAATTAGAGCTCCAGAGTATTTTATTTTATTATTTATCTTATTTTATTTATATTGTCTATCATCTTAAATAATAGACTATTTGATGTGTGCAATCTGAGTGCTCTTATTGCCAGAAACTGTTGCTATGATCTAAAATATTCTATAATCGTGAGAGAATTTAAATAACTTGGAGACTCAAAACTGACCAATCTGTAACATTTGTCAGTTTGTAACAAGTGAAATTTCACAGATAACAGTTCATCAGATCTCGTTCCAAATCAGCCAGATTATTCACGGCGCATATGACATACTGCTGCTTCCCCACACGGTCACAGGCAAACAACACATCACTGAAACAAGCGACTCAATATACAAACAAACTAAAAAGAAAAGGGGACAAAAAAACCACAAAGAGTTCACCACTGTATCATTTGACAAAAACACCACCTTCTAAATTGCACAGTGAAAGGTCAGTCATGGTTTATCTTCATCTCTACTTTGTGAATACAAATATAACACATGGGGTAAGCAGGGGGGGGGGGGGGGGGGGGGCAGCTCCTCAAACATTATTTTTTATTTTATTTTATTCTCTTTTTCTGTGAATAGGTTGCATAATAGTTATATCTTGAGATTGAAATAAAGAAATAGACAAAAAAAATCTACAATAAAACTGTCTGGAGTATTTGAATGATTATGTGAATTATCATGTTCAAGGGACAACGGATGAAAAACAGTCTTGTGTCTAAATATGGTACATTTACAGTGATGCTCATTGATGTATATTATCCCTTTCAAATAAACAAACTACAAAATGCATCCCCAGTGTATTTATTCATTTGATATCATGACTGAAGTATATTAAGTATAATTGATCACCTAACAGGAAGCTCACAGCCCAAAGAGGACCGTGGGCTGTGAGCTTCCTGTTCTGGAGGTTCTTCATAAATCCAGACTTTTAAACAAAGCTCTTAGGATTGTCAATGACTCTTCTGGCCACCCTGGGAAAGCCATGTTCCAGCTTCTTCCCTCTGGCAGAAGATATCGCTCTCTGAGATGCAGGACATCTCGTTACGCTAACAGTTTTTATCCACAGGCTGTTATCAGTGTGAACAGAGCACTTTAATGATTTGCACTTGTTTTGAAACTGTTTTAGTCGATCGATTTCACAGTGACATTTTTTTTTACTGTTTTATTTGTTTTATTTCTGTCTTTTAATGTTGTTTTATGTCTGTATTTCCAGTGCACACTGGAGACTTTTTGCTATGTGTATGTATGTATTCCAATGTGGTGTTTTTACTGCAAATGGCAAATAAACTGAATCTGAATCTGAATCTAACAAATCCAAAAGTCTGTATTATATATTAGATTATCATTGCGACACATTTTACAATCAGATTTTTCTCTCTTTTAGGTTTTGGTCCTCATCGTCCATTCTGATGTCTGTGCACTGAATTCATGAATGTATTCAACATAAAAGTGTATTTTAATTGCTCCAATGTTGTCTACATCTGGCCAGTGTCCCACTAAATCAATAATCCTCCTCAGAGCCTTAAAATAGCCACATGCTGTGATCTGAAACCCTTGCACTTCCCCCATCGGGTGTGGGCTGCTGATTGCAGATTGTAGATTTGACACATAAAGTGGACGTCTCGTGGGTATAAGGGCCATAGATTATCTGTCTGTCCACACTACACAGTCTGGTGCAGCACAGGGGGTGAGTGTCGGGCATGAAACACATTGACGCTGCCCTCAATCTCTATATTTCTGACAAAGGCCTTGAAGTTCTCTTTAATCTACTGTTATATGGGCATGGGGCAGCGACTTCCACTTGGTTGGGTAATTGTGCACAGGGCCAGCAGTAACACAAGGCCCCAAGAGGTATACAGCCAAGGTTTGTACAAGACGTGGATAGCAAAATGGAAAAAGCCTTTGTGCATAGAGCTATGAAGGACTGAGGCTAATGAACACAACTTAGTGTTTCAGTCGGGGATCACTGCACGATCACTGCAAGTAAAGTAAAGTTAGCGCTGCGTGTCCATTCAGATCTCGCAAATGACAGGTGACTGTTTTGTATTCCTAGTAGTCAAAACCAGAGGAACAGAGCATGAAAAGTAAATGAGTTTGTCCATCTTCCCCTGAACTGACCCTTGATGCTCAACTGAAACCCGAGCAGCTTCAGAGAGTTCTTCAAGACTCAGTGAATGAAAACAAGTGTGTGGCAACACAGGGACCTCAGCGTGGGGACGGACAACACTGCCCTGCCACACAAGAAGCACAAGCTCAAGCCAAGAGATCTACTGACGTGATGACGAAAACATTTCTCAACAATTTCTCAATAACCAAAACAAAAAAGAAATGTTCTTGTGACCGAATGTGTCATCCGAAACAGATCTGTCTAATAACTCTTATCATAACTGCAAGGAAAGCCCACATCAGAGAGTACACATAAAACCATGAATCATGTCAGTAGTATTGGTAGTGTACAGTAGTGTATAGTAGTGTATAGTAATGTATAGTAGTGTACAGTAGTGTGTAGTAGTGTATAGTAGTGTAGTGGTAGTGTCAGCTCGGGCTCAGATCATCACCTCTAGAGTGAGTCATACTCTTCCTCATGATGCACATGGTCTTCCTCATGTTGCACACCTGTATCCTGTCAGCTCTGACATCCTGTGACTTCAAAAGTCTCAGTTGTGATGTGGAAACAGATGGAGCTGAGCTGGCTTCATGGCTGTCCAGTTGCCACAGGAGGTGGAAAGCTAATGTAAAGTCCAGGTAACACTGGAAGAAAGAAAGGAAGGAAGGCTCAGAATACTTTTCTGACAAACAGCTCATGTGATGATGTTAGAGACATATGACACGGAGAGTATTCCCGTCATAACACTTGAGAAAATTCATCTGAGGCCAAAGTTAGCCTGCGCCTGTCTGTGGAGTTCTAAAAGCTCCTCTAGTCCAGCACATGAATCTAAAGATACTATTGGCTGACAGTGGTATTTATAAACAAAGTCAGACATAGTGACCCTTTTACATGATACTTTTATGCATTTATACACATGGACCATGTTTTATCCATATGTTTGAGCAAAATAACAGATGTTAAGGATCTTTACAGGTTGACTGTTTAACCACTCGACTCTAAGTATATGTTCCAGATATTGCTATTAAAATAATCTCTGGAGGCTGGCTCGGCTCTTCACCAAATTGGTCTTGGTCTCTCAATTTGAGAAAGACTTAATTCTATACTGTGGAACATTCTTGCTTATGCAAAGCAGCCTGGCGCCTCCTCACAAATGACATAATGGCAAGTTGTTAGGTCAGCCATTTATTATGCACATCCACTGCCTTAAAATTATATAGGCTACCCTGAGTAAAGGACATGGCTATAAATAACCACCTACACAAAATTACCTCGACTCAAGTGGCGACGATCTCACATCAGATATGCGCATTGTGCATTAAACATGTTTTCTGCATCTCTCAAGCGTTTGCAGTACTAAAATACACCCTGGTTCTGCCACTGAAGCACCAGGGATAAAAATGCATTATTTATTCTTGTGAAGCTGACCGTGTACTCACTGTAAAATCACTGAGGAACACCTTATGGCAAGTGCAGAAGGTAACATGACTAGTGCTCACATTAGTGTATGAAGAATTTAACACAGACAGCCCCCTCCCCCATTCTGTTCCCATGCTGTCACTCTCTAAGCATGCACCTGTCAGATTAAGCAGGTCTTCAGCTGCCTCTGCTCAGGTCTGAGGGCACAGTGCAACCATGGTGTGCACCAAAATGTTGTCCACCTCTCTTAGATGTGTGGTGAATCATGTTGGATTTATCAGGATGGAGCATTGGAGGAGAATTTGGAAACCTGTTATTTGGCAAACAATGCCTCCGTGGGTGGCTCTACCATTATCTGTTTTATTTTTATTTTGTTTTATCTCACGTAGAGCTGCACTGGGGTGTCATGGCTGCAGCGCGTACAAAATACATGATTTTGGACTTCATGCAAACGGAATTTAGGCTAAGCAATTGGAAAAGTAAACACAAGGGGGGTTTAGGAGGAAATGTGGGGGTGGGGAGTGTCGAGAGCGGGGGTCCACGCTGAAAGAATCCCGCTGCTGGCACGATGGACGAAAGCAGCTGAGGCGACAGGCATGAGAGAGGGATAGAAGCACCGCGCTCCAGCATCAACCGCAGCAGCGCAGCAGAGCCACGCCGGAAACCACCTTCACAATATGAACACTATAGGAAACTGCGCAAGGAAAGAAAGTTAGGTTTAAAGCTGCGGTACCTAACTTTCACACCACAAAAATGATTGCGTAATAAAACCCGTGTACCTCTCAAATGTATTTTTCACACACATTTCACATTTTTTGATTTCTAGAAGAGGACCACCCTCACTCAACGAATCAGTTCTCAGCCCAAAGCGTCAAATAGTGACTCATAAGGGTCTTTCTTTTAGGGCATGCAATGAATAACATGTTTTCTAAAGAGTCTAAAATGTTTTTCTAGAAAAAAAAGACAGCATGTTAGCATAATTTTGCTTTGACGCTTTCTGTTGAGACAAACAACATGCATGAATAAGTAAAATTATGTACCCCAACTTTACCCCAGGTGGGTGGAGAGGTCCTTCCTCAAGTGGAGGAGTTCAAGTATCTCGGGGTCTTGTTCACGAGTGAGGGGAGGATGGAGCGTGAGATTGACAGGCGGATCGGTGCAGCGTGCGCAGTGATGCGGTCTCTGTATCGGACCGTTGTGGTAAAGAGGGAGCTGAGCCGAAAGGCGAAGCTCTCGATTTACCGGTCAATCTTCGTTCCCTCCCTCACCTATGGTCATGAGCTGTGGGTAATGACCGAAAGAACGAGATCGCGGATACAAGCGGTCGAAATGAGCTTCCTCCGCAGAGTGGCTGGGCGCTCCCTTAGAGATAGGGTGAGGAGCTCGGTCACACGGGAGGAGCTCGGAGTAGAGCCGCTGCTTCTCCACGTCGAGAGGAACCAGTTGAGGTGGCTCGGGCATCTGTTCAGGATGCCTCCTGGACGCCTTCCTGGGGAGGTGTTCCGGGCAAGGCCCCGGGGAAGACCCAGGACACGCTGGAGAGACTATGTCTCTCAGCTGGCCTGGGAACGCCTAGGGGTCCCCCCGGACGAGCTGGAGGAGGTGTGTGTGGATAGGGAAGTCTGGGCGTCTCTGCTTAGACTGCTGCCCCCACGACCCGGCAACGGATAAAGCGGAGGAAAATGGATGGAACTTTAAAAAGTAAAAAATACAATCAAGGCAAATAGAAAACAGAGGGAGCCCAGAGAGATACCAGTGAGAGAGATATACCAGAGAGAGAGACCAGAGATGGAGACTAGAGAGAGAGAGACCAAGGAGAGAGAGACCAGAGAGAGTCCAGAGAGATATACCAGAGAGAGATACCAGTGAGAGATATACCAGAGAGAGAGACCAGAGATGGAGAACAAAGAGAGACCAGAGGTAGTCCAGAGAGAGAGCCCAAAGAGAGAGAGAAACCATGCAGAGAGATACCAGAGAGAGTTACCAGAGAGAGAAGAGAAAGAGAGACAAGAAAGAGAGAAACCAGAAAGAGATACCAGAGAGTCCACAGAGAGAGCGAAAGAGAGAGAGACCAGAGAGATTCCAGAGGGAGAGACCAGAAAGAGAGATACCAGTGAGAGACCAGAGAGAGAGATACCAGAGAGAGATCCAAAGAGAGACCAGAGAGAGAGAGAGACCAGAGAGAGAGACCAGAGAGAGAGACCAGAGAGAAATGTGTATAGCAACTGAAACGTCCCGTAAAGAAAACAAAATGGCTACAGTTGCTTTGCTTGTTTCTCTACTATATAAAAAAAATCTAGTAAAATACTGAATACAGTCGAAGTAGAGTAAAGCGGATGGGCTTTTATTCTGACAGTCTTGGCCGGAAACAGAATTCGCGCACCTCCCTCTTGACGCTGTAGTCGCGTGTTCTTTATCATTTAGTTGCGGAGAAAGAGAGAAAACTGTGGAGCTGGGAATAATCAGCTGCGACAAACACACAGTCTGTGACAGTGTTTACACAGTGTGCTGGACCTCACTGCGCCCTAGGGAGGAGCCATCTGGCCAGAAGTTCTTGTGGACATTTTATTTTAGGGAGATCCCCCCGTCAAGCGTGTTTGAGGCGAGGAGAGGTCAGTGATGGTTGTGGTTCCATGGAGAGCTGACTCTTTTCTCCGTATTCCTGCGCGTTTTGATCGGAGGGGGATTATTTACGCACGTCACACACACAGAGCCTAGCGTTTTTCGGGGTTTTCTTGGGTGATGCGTTCTGCTTTTGGATAAACCCGATTCTTTTTTTGGGAGTATAGTTTCCATCTACGCATCTTGTTTTAGTTACATGTATTATAGCGCACGCACTGACTGTTCAGAGAGGAAAGGTCTGCGACAAACCCAGAGTGTGTAGACCCTAAATCTTATAGGGTGCTACTTGTCATGTCCATTCCGACTCTGTGAACGAGGAGAGATCCGTGACGAGCCAAGCCACGTTCGAGATGTGAGATCCGAACCCTGCATCAGCTCTGAGCGTCGTCCTTTCTCTACATCACAGGTTGACATTGATACAGGTACGTATGCATGCGACTGGAAAACGACAAAACAAGACGAACGTGTGCGTCTGCATGCGTGCGCTCTGCTTTCCACACACAGAAATACAGTGGAAATGAAGCACCAATTGGATAGGTGTTGCCTCAATAAGAGCACAGGGGCACGCTGGGTATACCCACAGAATGTTACACAGCTATTGGACTTGACCTCGAGTTTGCTTCATCATTAGAAACGCGTAAATCCACTCCCCAGGCATTCACTATATTTTCTCACGAGGATCTCATGGACCTAAGCGTGAGTTTTTTTTTTCCACGCCACAAAACACTGGACACTATTTTAGAACTGTCAATCACAGCGTGCACCCCACCCCCTCCTCATTTCACGGCCCTCCCCCCTCCAGCCTTTTTACTTTGGAGGTTAAATGTCATTCTTTCTATTTGGGTCCCACGCGCATACGCACACCAGCGACAATGGGCCGTGTCACAAACAAACACGGACTTCTGGAAGCCCCTGAGACCCTCCCATGTGACTAGTATTGTTAGGGTCTTTGCTAAAAAGGGTGAAGCATTCTCCAAATGTTTATGCATAAGCTCCTTAGGTCAGCTGAACCATGGGTGTCTGTTGACTATATGTCTCCCACGCAGGACCTTTTTATTAAAGGGGATCACTTAAATACTCACTGGAGTCACATTAAATTGAAGCATATAGAAGTGGCAACCAGTTTCTGTGATATATGATCTACCTCAGACATGGGTTGTGTAGTTTATTCACAGGCTCCTTGGCGCTTCACGGTCTATTCCAGAGTGTTCCGTTTTCCATCATTAATCAATATGCATTCTGTTTATTGTCAGCCGCTGCTTTCATGAGTACGTTATCGCTCTCTTTGGGGAATAGATGAGGCTACAGTATCTCCCCGCGGCTGATGCCATATGTACCTTGTTATTTGGAGCACTGTGGCCCGATAGCGCCTTGCAAACATAACAGTACTCCTGCATGCCCTGTTACGCACGCACACACACACACGTACACACACCCCTCTCCTCCCCTCCCACTCTTTCAAACCCAGCAATGATGCTCCAGGCGCGCTGCTCGCTCCAATTCTTCTCCCAAATGCATCCGGCTGCTGTTTCTTCACACAAGGCCGTCTGAGAACTATATCACAAGCCCTAAACAAATTTGAGCTTTCCGCGCGCAGTGATCCACCTCCGTGCGCGACAGCCCGACTAGTTCATCCATAATAGAAGGTGATTAGCGCCATATGGAAGAAGTCTCAGTTTCAACAATTGCGTATGTCCTTAGGCTTACATTAAAGCAGTGGTGAGGGTTAGAATGTATTTAGGGATTAAGCATCAGGCACCGTTAAATGGCAGTACATTCACAGATGGTTGCACCGTGAGGGTCATGTGATAATGAGGTCCAAAATATCTGAAGGGGGAAGATGCCTTAATTTGAATCAATATTTTAGGAATACTCACCCGGCCTTATAGAAACTCATCTCTCGCTCTGTCTGTCAATGTAGCCCAGGCATTCTCTCTCTCATTTATATTCCATCTATTATCCAGCCATGCTTTTAATATTTCAGCACATTAATAGCACAATCCAAGTTCATTTCTGACTCACTTTTCCCATGCTTCTCCTTTTAGGATATTTGAATAAATAAAAGGAACAAATCATTCATTGCATAATTGTTACGCATTATTCTTTATCATGTTTTACAATGAGACAAAGCCAAATGAAAGTGGTTCCCAATAGCTCTTTATATAACTGCCTTTATTTGAACGAATCTTACGTCAAATAGGACAATCGAGATACATTCAATTTCTCGGTTGTAAAGTTGTAAAATATAATAATAATAATGCACTGGTTTCATGTAGTGCTTTTTTTTTTTACACAAAGATTCACATGACATTGAAGCCACAGCTGCCCTGGGCCAGACTGACAGAAATTGAGGCAAGCAGTCAGTGCCATTGGCCCCTCTGACCGCCAACCATTCTCCCACACGCCATACTCATTCTAAACAGCGGATGTCTTGCCTAAAGACACAACAACAGTTTGGCACTTTACAGCCACAGCCGCAGCTGCCCCACTGTGGCATCTGGTGTTCTCAGGAGTCACCCATCATAGTACTAACCAGCCCCTGTCCTGCTTATCTCCAGAGGTCTGACTGAATCTGGCTTTCACACAGATTTATAGGCGTTTTATGTCCTCTCACAGAAATTACAATGTATTGGCAACTCTTCTGTGTCCTGTAGACTATTTCCGCTGTGAGTAAAAACAAATATTTCCCTGTGTTTCGTGGACTGCTGTTCTACGGTCAGCAAAGTCCAATGGATCAATACACAGGTTACAATGGTTAATGATGTCGCAGATTCTTCCAGTCATCACCTTGATTATACAACACTGAGTCAGCAAACGTAATTAGTGTAACCAGTTCTTAGATGTGGTCAGTAAACAGATGCAGAGGACAGACCCCCCCCCCCCCCATTCCACAGCTGGATCAATATGTTGTTCCACAGGAATCACAAGCATGTGCTCACATTTTATGTACGCTCCCAAGAGACAGGAGAGAACTTGAACTGACTGAGCAGAGTATATACAAAATGCAATAATCTCCCAATTTGTTGCTGCCATTGGTCCACAGATGTAAACATGATGTAGGAAACATTTAAGCATATTCTGTCTTTTCAAATTCATAATAGGTTTATACTTGAGTTAAGATTGTTTAGCATTAAAGGGGATGTTAGTAACTTAAACTGTATTTTATTTTGTATTTCTCTAACTATGAGTAACTGTAATCATGTAGCTTAAGTATTTTTAACAAGAATATATTATAAATAGTCCCTCCCCTTGGCATAACTAGGAATTGGCATAAGATTAACTGGAGAACAGTTAAAGGTCTCAGGGATTTCAGTTAATTTGGACCAATCAGGAAGCTGCAGGGGTGAGAAGGGGCGGGTCTAACCAGTGCTCGTCTTCCAAAAGTTCCACTCTCTCTTCACAGTTTTAAAAGTAGCTTATATAAGATTTTACTTTCATTTTCAAACATTAGTTGTAGTCATTTGTCTTGTGTCGAGTGCTCATTTGATACTGTTCTGTAACGCGGCCTGCAACACTGGCATTTCCTCACAGTGGGAAGAATGAAGCATCTCTTCTTTAACATCTAGACGTGGAAAAAAAAACATTTTCTGGTCTGAAAGAAATCTATGACGCGGGCATTGGGGCCGTCTTCCAAAAAAATAAACATCTGCAACTAGAGAGTGCAATTTCTTTAAACTAAACACACATTTCCATCTTAGCTCAGGTTAGGGTCTATAAAGAAAACATGTCAGACGCCCCACAATGCAACACCAGTCATCAGAGCCAAAAACTAGCACAAATTGGACCCGAAACCTAGTATTTATTAAAAGTATGAATACCCTTTGAACTATCACCAAGCTGCATAAAATAACCACAAAACGAATGTAAGCTGAAGCAAATAAGCAAAAGTCATTTATTTATTTATATAGCGCCTTTCACAGACCAGAGTCACAAAGAACTTTACAATTGTTGTGGGCGTTTGTCTCTCTCTCCGCACACAGATGGGAGCGAGGTCACCAGTACAGGAGGCGCATGCCAGGACCTAGTGTACATGTTTTTAGTGGTAAAGGGTAAACCGGAGCACCTGGAGGAAACCTGCCGCAGACACGTGGAGAGCATGCAAACTCCACACAGAAAGGTCCTCTGCTGTTGACTGCTGTTGTGATTTAGGGCTATACAAATTTAGTCTCATCTTAAGACGCATTTTGACTCTCTGGATTTTAACACAGCGTGAGTTGTGTGGTCCTCTTTTTATTTGTTTTATTATTTTTATTTTTAAACCAGATAACTAGTATTTTATTGTTTTTTACTTTGTGCATAATGTTTTACTTCTATTTAATTTATTCTTTTAAACATAAGGCTGGGAAACTTGCACATTTAAACGTGTTGATTTTATCTCTGTGCAGCACTTTGGAATCTTGTTTTATAAAATGTGCTATATAGATAAAGTGGATTTGATTGGATTATGGACACATGAAATAGTTGACATCCGCACTTGTTACTCTACAAGGCTTTCTACTTCCTGGCATTTACGTAACAGCTTTTCTCCTGCACCTGTAGTCTCGCTGTTGCAGGTCAGCGGTGGTGCCATAAGAAATGCATGATCTAGTTGCCAGGTTTGTGCGAGAATGTTGCGCTTCAATAATAGACGTCCAAGTAACAGTATGTAATGTTGACGTGCAAATGAGCAGGGGGGGGGGGGGGGGGAATAGCCCCACGTATACGCAAAAAACACTGCCTCACGCGCAAAGCCAAGATGGTGCTTTTTTGGCAAAGAGGAAGAAGATGAGTCCTACGAAAACAGCAGCCACGCAGAACTGGCACGGTCTGGATTCTTCAGTTACATAAGATACACAGCAAGAATAAAGTCTTGGGGGAGGTGGGGGTGGGGGGAGGAGGAGGAGGGGGTGCAGGCAACAACAAAAAATAGGGGGACTGGGGAGCAACCAAAATGGAAGCTGAAATAGAATGAGAATGGAGAGAGTGCTGAGGAGGCTTCACGATTCGGCTTAAAATGTAACCAAGATACGGGACTCATCTACAGGGCTATTTTTTGCGCCGAGGATAAGAGCAGGGATTCAAAATGAAAGAGCTTTTAAAGGGATTGAGACAAAAAAACGGCAGCAAGGAGTTGGTGGAAGGACAAGATATACGGAGGCGGAGCTGGCATCTTCAGTGACTGTGTGGGGTGATGTGCCGTGCTGGTTTGTCAGTGGGAGAAGAGAGACTTATTCCACACGTTTTTAACAAATGTTTTTACGTATAGGTATAGAGGTCGGAAGGTATATGACATCAGTGCTACAGATATGACAATTCTTTCTTGGCTAAAGTTAGAGATATCAAGACTTCTTTCCTTATTATGCTAAAGATAGAGATTTTAATTTAGTATTGAGTTATTATTCATTTATCTTGTGCTGTGTGCTCCTCAATGCTACTGTTCTGTAATTTGTGATGCAACACTGAAATTTGCCCACTGTGGGATGAATAAAGGGTCTCTGAATCTTAATCTTAAATGTGATGCCCTACCAAATGTTGTCAGGACATGTGTATTGCATATTTTTTTTCACAATATGTGGCAATAGCAATGTTTTGAGCTAAGCTGTACGGACTTACGCGTAAGTCGCTAAGTTGAGGTCAATGGTAAAGTTTGTAAATAAGTTGAGGTTTGTAAATTGTTGACAACATATCATTAGTCAACCGTTTCTTTTTAATATTAAATTACAAGCATTTCTGTGGGAAAACTGCCAATTCGCTCCATGGATTCTAATGTTAGCTAAGGATGTAGGCCTTTACTTTATATTCAACCCAAACTCTCACTTCACCAGGTTCACTTTTATTAACGGACGAAGGGCCTTTAAATTTCTAAACTGAAGAAATGTATGTAGACTTTTATTTATGCATGCCTTCTTGATTTTATTCTGCTTTCACTTGTTTGCACCGAGAGCCAAAGCAATTTCCTAGTTTGTGACTTCCTGTTGCTCACATGGCAATAAAAGGATTCTGATTCCATCTCTTTGTTAGCGTCTTTGAGTGTCCAAAAAGTCACAATATAAGTATGATGTATATTTATTAATCCCAGTGCCAATGGGGGCATATAGCATTTTGTCGCAAATGTACGCAAAAAATGTTCTAGTTCAAGATTTGGCCACGCCCCCTTTAGTCGGCCAATCGCTCGGGCGGGGCATGTCTTTAGTAGACTAAGACAGTAAGAATGTATTTGCTTGATTTACTGCCCGAGTATGCACAACACAAGCCAAATCAAAGTGATAGTTGTCCACTGACTGTTTCCTGGCAGCTCTCAAGCTCTCCCCATCCAGTCACAGCCAGAGCCTCCATCTGTCTACGAGAGGATGAGAGGATGAGAGGATGAGAGGGTGAGAGGGTGGAAGGGTGAGAGGGAGAACATGCAAAAGTGTTCACGGGTGACGTTTGAGCTTTTCTGTGTGGAGCATCTTTGCAGCAGGTTTTAATAGCTGTCATTACGCAGTGACAAAGGCAGAGGCCGGTTTGGGAATGAACAAGTGCCTTGTTGTTTTGTCCCTGGTGTTGCCATGGTGATGACTGGGAAATCAACACAATGTGAGAGGATAAAATTAGTGGAAGGTGTTTGGATATAGCTGCATTAGTGTTTCGCCATGTTTTCATCGGTGACTCAACGTTTATACTGTAAAACATGACAGCCAAATCTCCTGGGAAGCAAGTCCAATCAGGAATATTTATGTAACAATTTCGCAGTTCAGTTTGTAGAGTTGTACTTTTGCACTAATCCAAAGAAAAATATATTTATTATTATGCTTTTGATTATTTAATCAGATGACTTTTGAAAATGTGTTTATTTTTATGTCATTTATTTTAGGATCCAAGTCCATTCATCACCAGATCAAAATATATTTCAGGTTTAGTTGATCATAATTTTTTTTAAATATTATTATTATTATTATTATTATTCAGTTTCAAAGGGGACAATGCAATTTAATAAAACACGAGTTTAAAAAAGCCAGAATTACCCAAAGAAGCTATTTTTCATCCGTCGTCCCAGCTGGCCATGATGTAAAAAGCCATCAAAATAAATTAAAATACATTGGGTAAGTTTTTTTTATATAGCACATTTTATAGACCATGTTCACCCAAAGCGCTTTACAATTGTTAAGAGTTCAGATAGTTTTCCATTCTCTCCAAACGGTGATGATGGAAGCAAGCCGCCGAACACACTGCCGCTTCAAAGCCTCCAACCAAACACCATCCATTCACCCACTCATTACATTCATACCTATTGTACATGTTTTTAGTGGTAGGGGAAACCGGAGCACCTGGAGGAAACCTACACAGACACAGGGAAAACATGCAAGCTCCACTCAGAAAGTATAGACAGGGATTGGAACCCAGGACCTTCTTGCTGAGAATCAAAAGTGCTATCCACTCAGCCACCGTGCCACCCACAAACATAAGAAAAATACAAGACAGAGACAACATTAATCAAGACTAACATTATAGTGTTGACACATCAGACAACATTCATTCAAAAACACACTATTTATAAGACTTAAGCTCATAGTACATAAGTTAATGAGGGCAGGTGTATGTGTTCACCATCCATTCCTTCAGGTCAAAACACATAATTGACATTTGTATGTATTTTTACAGTGTGTTTTAATTCGTTTTTGAATGTTGTAAACGTTAAGCACTTTGGGTCGCATACTGTATGAACTGTGCTATATAAATAAATGATTGATTGATTAGTTGGCTTTTCTTCCTGGGGTCTCCTCGAAATCATTACATGCGCATCTACCACATTTTTACATTCAGGTCATGTCTTTTCTGAGATAACATAAGAATCAGCACGTCACTGCGGACCTCTTTTTTTGGCGCACCGACTTTCTTTGAAGAATTTTTAAAAAAGTGGCGTTCCTCATAAGATGAAAAGATAATTATCATCACGGTTTGTGCTGACCAATAAAAACCTGCGGCAATGAGGAGACGACACAAGACGACAAGAACAAGTCAGGATACGAGGGAGGCAGAGTTTCAGTAATGAAGCAGGAATATAGGGCCGCAAACTCCCACGAGGCCAGATCAGAGACTCAGGCAGATTAATATGCACAAGTTTAATGCTCAAACTTACTGTTAATGAAGACTCCACACGTAAACAAATGTTACTGCTGGTCCCTAAAAGGATTTCCAACAATCATTTTTACAGGAACTTGCACCATTGATGGAAACGGGAGACTATGGCATGTTATACTTCATTTTAAAACTTGATTTATCAGGAAAACAAAGTATAATGTGAACTAAAATGTAATCATAGTTACTTATTTTGTTTTTATTTAACTATCAATCTTCCAATACATTTCTTTGTGATATTTGGCCCAGTTGGGATGGAATCCAAACCTACCTCAAAATAATGTCCAAACTCCTGTCAAATACTGTTAATTTGTCCAAAGTCGAAAATATGTAAATACAAAGAAACACTTTTATACCACTTTTATACTTCTGGCCCCAACCAGCTCTCATGTTTTAAAAATTGGCCCCCGACCAAAATGAGTTTGGTCCTAGATAAAGGTATGATTATAAAAATGATAATATATTTTTACTTCTCGTATCTTCAACCACAATAAGTCAGAAGGCTGAAACTATAGCAGACTTGTTGCTATTCTCTGGTCTGCCCTAGTTACACTGCAGCTGGAGGCACTGTGTGTGACCCAGCAGCCTACCCAGAGTGTATTTAAACCAAGCTCTCTCATATTCTCTCTCTCTCTGGAATTTAGACCACATGGAACGTAAATATTGTGGCTTATTCTATGTCAAATCATAAAAAGAAGTCCTGTGATAAACAAAAGACTTATTTGGAGTAAGGGAAAGTTTCATAGTGTACCCAGAAGCTAGGAAAAAAATTCTGAAATTGACAGTAGAATCCATTATAAAACCAGACCACAATATCACAGCATCTAAATATAAAAGGAGTTGTGTGTGAGTTGTAGTGGACAGGACAAACTGCACTTCACATTGTTTTGGTGTAAGGAAAACAACATGCTGTTTAAATGGCTCGTCAATGCCATCACTCTGGGCTTTACTCCATTCAGGGGTATTTACGACCCTTGCTCTAGCTGTTTATTTGAAAATGTTTCCAACAAAAGGAAATGGTTAAAGGCTTCCCGGGGATTACAAAGAGCTAAAGACTATTGTCTGTGTGTGCATAGAAATGTATGAACTACTGTCTTTGTTTCTGCTCAAAAACACAGTGGCCACAGCAGCTCTGTCCTACAGTGAATAACTTTAGATAGAAAGTTTGCTTTCACTTGATATTGCTTTAATCATTCACTTGTTTTTGTTCCTTTGCTCTTTCAGAAATGGCGATCCTGGCCGTCCTTCTCCTGCTGACCTTCTCCATTGCAGCACCTGTCTCTGGTCAAGATCTGATGGACCCAGACCAGACGGCTGTTCCCAGAGGATGTGGTTGGGGCTTAGTGCGCCCCTATACTCTTCTTTGTGACCTGGACTCTATTTGGGGCGTGGCCGTGGAGTCTGTGGCCGCTGGTGGTGCTCTGGCCTCCATCTTACTCACTCTGGTTCTTCTGTGTCGCCTACGACACATCAGCGAGGGAGAGAAGCGAAGTGGCGTGGGGCCCATTCTTCTGCTGCTGCTCGGCGTCATCGGTCTGTTTGGCCTGAGTTTTGCGTACCTCATTGAGCAAGACGAGTCGCTCTGTCTCCTGCGGAGGGCGCTATGGGGTGTGTTATTTGCCCTGTGCTTCTCCTGTCTGCTGGTGCAGGGAGTGCGTCTGCGCAGGCTGGGGCGTGAGCGCCGCAGTCCAGGTGGATGTGCGCTCACCGGGCTGGCGCTGGGGCTCAGTGCGGTGCAGGGGATCATTGCAGCAGAGTGGCTGCTGCTGACCGTGCTCAGAGAGGGCCGGGCCGCCTGCCAGTACCTGCCTCTGGACTTTTCTCTGGCCTGTAGTTATGTCCTGGCTCTGCTGATAGCGGCGCTGACCGCTGCCTCTCTAGCGCTGTGTGGGAAAACCCGACAGTGGCGCTGCAATGCGGTGTGGCTGCTGCTGACCTGTGTGCTGTCTCTGCTGCTGTGGGTGGCCTGGGTGGGCTTCTACCTCTATGGGAATGACTGGCTTGGACATTCCCCGGAGTGGGACAACCCCACACTGGCCATCGCTTTGGTGGCTCAAGGCTGGCTCCTGCTCATCTTCCATGCCATTCCCGAGTCCCACTTGTGTCTGAGACCCCCACCACAGCCTACAGCCCCAGACTACTTTGACACCTCTCAGAACTCCACCAGAATGAGGGAGACCAGTTTCGATGACGAAATCCCACTGTCCCACAGACAGTTTGTGGATAACCAGGGCTACGGATACACTGACGAGAACGCAGCAGGTACAATGCAATTCATTTTAGGGCTGGGCAATAAATAGAATTTTGGCAATTAATCGGCTTTTGAAAAAATCGAATTTGTGAAAAGTGTTAAAATCGTGAAATCGAATGAAGGATGTTGTGAGAGTTCCAGCAGCACATTAATCTTATTTGCAATATCCTCACAGTCTGTACAAGACTTTTATAATACGTATTGAGGGAAACAAATTAGAAATAGTATTGAAAGTTGAATATTGAGCGGAAAGATCAAACCATATTTTTAAGGGAAAAGTCAGTCTTCGGTGACTTTAATAAAAATCGATTAAAAATCGAAATCGTCCAAAGCAGGAAATAAAATCGAGATTTTACTTTTTTGCCATATCGCCCAGACCTAATCCATTTATTATATTTCAGCTAATAATATAAGGCTTTATTAGATTTCAAATCATCCACAAAATGACACATACTTGGATAAATATATGTACAACAGCCTAAAAAGATGTCTACCACACATGAATATTTTAGATCTTCAACACATTGTCTTCCTCTTACGCCATGTCCATCTCCCCTGCAGGTCTGCGGAGTGGTAGCAGCACCGGGCAGCACAACAGCAGCGGCGGCGCCCGGCCCAGCGCTCCGTTCCGCAGTAACGTGTACCAGCCAACAGAAATGACCATGATCCTGAACGGGGGCGCGGTGAGTACAGCCTCCCAATCACAGGTACACCACTCTAACGCCATATGAATCTGCCATCCCAGCCTTCACACTGGACTGCATGTTCAACCAGAGCTCAACAACTCATTTGGGAATGTGGGGGAGGTGTGAGCGTGTGCCCGAATACACGGTCATGTGACTGTGTGTATCTCTGGGAACACGCAAGAGTGGTTTTGACATATTGCAGCGGTTTCTCAGACACAAAAGTATGTATTGGTTCATGTGTTGTTGAATATTATTTTATTCCAAAATCCATAAATAGCCATTTTATTTCCACAAAAAAAGACCAGTGCACATCAAACACATTTAGTGATTTTGATGCTATAAGACAGACTAATAAATAAGATTTTGAAAAAGACGGACTGGGAGATGGTCAATTCAAAAGTATGGACTCTATGAAATAATTGATGTATACCATAATTGGGAACTAGTTGCATAGAATAAGATATAAAACCGCAGATTTATGAAAACCACCGACACCACCGCTCTGTTACCTGCACCACAGTTTGAGAAGCACTGTCACACAGGTTACTCATCTGATGCTCGTGTATGCCCAGCCATCCATGCGTGTTCCTGTGTTTTGTGTGTGTGATGCCTCTCTTTATGCACTGTGAATGGACACGGCACTGGCACGCTGCACTCGTCTCAGTCTCAGTCATTATGAATTAGAGCTGTCAGGCAGCGGTACAGCACACCTCATAACACCGCAGTCCAAACGCTGAATCAACACTAACCTATGGGCCACACAGCTAACTTGGCCTATTTTCTCCTTCTCAGTGCCTCATATAGTTTTAATGTAACATTAACAATTACAACCCCTAATAGCACTTTTCATTACTTCTCACTTGGAGTGTTTAACTGTCTTCTCACTTCTTTTTTAACGGCTTATGAGCCATTTCCGAAAACGTATGTAGTTACAGTGCTGTGGTGGAGACAGATACAGAATTGTCTATTCATCCATTTGTCAGATTTATGTTGGCATTAATGAAAGTGCCAATGTCCAGCCAAGTAAATGTTAAAGCTGGGGTACCTAATTATCAATTAACAATAAAATGTCGAAAAAAAAAAAAAAATACATTTAACTATAAAATTAAATTCCTCTTCCCCAAAACAGTTTGGTTCTGACACTAGTTTTCACATTTGGCCTCCATCACTTCTTTAGAATGACTTTTTCAGAAAAAGAACCCTCGCTCTGTCAATCAGCCCAACGTGTCAAATAGTTGACTGTATAAGTACAGTATGCAAAAGATAACATGTTTCTATTAAGTTGTGATCGGATTTGTCCACAGTTTTGTATTTCAAGACTCTGTCAGGATAAACAACATGTTTTATTCATGATGACATGTTTGGAAACCCAGCTTTAAGTTTGAATGGCTGTGAGACAATCGAGGAGGATTGAATATATAAATCTTTATATTTATTTAACCTTTGTTAAACCAGGATAAAACCCATTGAGATATATATTTTTGCAAGAGTGTCTTTTTACAAAATGAGATCGTCAGTTCAACCCCATCACTATATTAATCAGATTATCTAAATGACCAAGTCTGATTTTAACACACTATCCTCTGTTATGAAATGCATATTACGATCATTTCTACAAGCACAATTTCCTCTTATTGTTTGTTATTCTTTTACAGGTTCCCTCAGCGCCTCCCACCTACACTGGCCGACAGCTGTGGTAAAGGATCATATGTTGAGGAGACTTATGTGGTGGAGAGGATGAAGACAGTGAAGAGTGCTGAGAGAAAAAAATAACAAAATCGCCACCTGGGCCATTTCACTCTGTACAGACTTAATTACTGTCTGTGTGCCAATCCACTCGTGTTGTTTAAGTGTGTTTGAGACTCAGAGACGACAGGCCATGGAGGACCGAGCTACAACGTTTTTGGAGAAAAGTCCAAATTGCAACGATCAACAATGGAAGAAAATCTGATTCGTCATCTCTGTCCGAAAGCTCCAAAGACTTGAACATCCGAAACATTGTTCTGGCCAGTTTGCTCCAGTCTCTTTGCTGAAATGGAAAACCTTTGGCTCAGTCCTCCATACATCCACAGCAAACCGCACATCTGTACAGCATAAGTACCGCCCTACATAGAAGACAAAGTGTATCTCAACTCCAGTCTCCACCATCCATCGCATTTCTCACCCTTATTCACAAGCATCGAACTCAAAACTGTGAAGTCCCCACGACCACAGCACAGAGCCAGTTTATCGGACGGATGTTTACGCTGCTAACGAACTAGTCAAATCAAAAAGGAAGCCTCGAAAAAAGGACTATGGTTGGACAGTGGGAACGTCAATTATCAGTGAATCTAGGTCAGACTGCTGTGCTCTCCGGTGGGCAAATGTCACTTTAAATCAGCAGGAAAAGGAGTGAGGAAACGCAACCACTTCCTATGTCTGCTTTTGTATGTTCGGACATTCAAAGACTTTCAAATAACAGGGTTGCTAACTGGTGCTAAATACCCCATAGTATATTATAAAACTCTGCACAACTCCCCCCCTCCCCTCCAATAAATAGCATCGATATTATAAAAACGTTAGGCTTGTGCACTGACGGACTGATTGACGTTCTGAAGGGGCGGAAAAAAAAAAAGCACTCCTACAAGATGGCGCCTGGTACGTCTGTTTTGGGGGCGGCCGTGCTGTCGTGTCTATCGCAGGAAAAGTCAGCGTGCCAAGAAAGGACTCACGTTTCCCGGAGTCTACATTTCACACACATTTCCCTCTCACCACAGGCTCTGTACATAATGCGGCGTAAAGCGTGTCTACTTTGATTTAGTTTAGTCCTACTGAAGAACTGACAACTTTGTTTTCTTTTTTTTTTTAAGTTGATTTGCATTGTGTTTCAGCATTATGTTACGCCTTTTTAGTTTTTTTTTTTAATGATTAGCTATTTCTTAATGTCTTGCCAAGACTAGACATGCTCTGATCTTTTGTTTCTTGCATGTTTGAGTTGTAAATTACAGTCAGTGTTTTCTGCTGCTACGTCCAAGCCTTTTGTCAATCTCTCCTGGCTACAGTATATAAATGCAGTGTTCATAGGTACATTGTGAAAGATTTTTAAAGGGAGGTGAGAATAATGTTTAAACTGATGCCACTGTTTTTAGACCAGCTTTGAAATGAAGAAAAATACTAAAGAAATAGGCTTACTTACAGGACCGGGGTCAGACCTTGACCACTGCTGTATTTACAGTCCTTTGGTGGTTCTAAAATAGCACGGGTACCAACATACCACTTCTCAGCCAATCAAATCCGGTCCACACATGGGCTGGTCCTGCTTTAGTATCACAGGTGGGTGGGGGGGAAGAGGCGTGTACTGTGTGTGTTCACTTACTGTGGAGTACAAAAAAAATAACACGTGACTTTGTAGATTTTGCACTTTGTCAACTACCTATCTGTGCATGCTTCTCACCATTTCAACATGTAAGACCTTCTTGAAACGTACTTTTGAATTAACTATAAGGGTCATGTGACAGCAATCATCTTTCAGTGTACTGTATATCCGATACTTCACTCTCAGTGTCTGTGCTTTCTCAAACGTGTAAAAGGAAAGCTGGGGCAAGACAAAAGGCTGGAGGAAATGGACGAGAATAAAACCAGATCACAAACTAAACTTGTGTTATGAGAGAATCTTCAGGCTTATATTATCAGTGTTTTTCACATTTGAACTGTGGAAAGACAAAACCTCTTCATGCGGTTCATCCCTGGGCTCAAAAAGCATCCTCTTGTCGCCCGTCCTCATACTTTGTCTTGCCTTCAGACTGTTCCACAGGGCAGCTGACAGGGTTGATATTCACAGCTGTGATGGTGAAGTGACGCAGCATGCCTATGTATAGAACTTGATTCCTCAGATTAGAACATTTAAAAAAAAAAGTGATTCAACTTCAATAAAAGTGTCATGTTTGTAGCTCATTTGTAACCGGGCGTGGTGTTTCCTTAACAGGTTTAGTAGCAAAAGTCAACTTCACTAGTTTGGGTGTGACTCAGGTACTTCAAATGTAGCAATCTTGCAAAAAGTCTCCTCTGTTTTCGGCGAATAAAGGTTCTATCATCTTAATTACAGTGGATACTCACTAGTTACTTGCAACACTAATAACAAATGGCCTTATATAGTTGCATTTAAAACATGAGTTTGTCACTTCAGGCAAAGACAGGATTCTGATTCATAAAACATCAGATCTTCCGCAGCAGCAGTGATGCATCTATGGTCATCTCCAAAAGTACATTTCTACCTGTTCAATTAAATCATTTGTTCTTTACTACTAAATACGGGCAGCACAGTGGTAACCTCAGAATAAACGTCCTTAGTTCAAAACCCAGTCGGAACAGAGTCTTTCTGAGTGGTGTTTGCATGTTCTCCCCGTGTCTGTGTAGGTTTTCTCCAAGTGCTACCGCTAAGTACAATCGGTAAATTCCTCCAGCTCTGGTAGTCCTGACCAAACCGAGCATCAATATCTGGAGATGGGTCCCCTGTACTATGGTATCCACTGGTCCTGACAGAGGCCCTCGTGGCATTACATGATGGGTCAAATGCAGAGAACAAATTGCAGTTGTTTGAATTCCATTATGCGTCTCAATAATGGAATGCTCAAAAGAATGGCCTTTGGTGGGATAAAAAGTAGTCTGACAATGACTCGTGACAAAATGTATCCCACATTGATACAATTAAGTTACTTTTCTGATGCAGAGAATCAAGTGTAATCTACTACTACTAATTATGTGTAACTTACTGAACCCATAACTTTAGTTGTGCTTTATAATAATGTGACCTACATTGCTCTTAATCCACACAACACCATTCAGAGTGCTGCCATAATCATATCACAAGGCTACAATTTTATATAAGTGCTATAATCCACTCTGCAGTTAGTATTTCAAACTTCCTTCAAATGTTATAACAACACGTTTATATTGGGAGAAGAAAGAGAGCGGGTATTTGAGGCTATACGAGAGGCGGATTAAAGCCATGTGGATAATTGACAAAAAAACAGGGCAAACGTAAAGAGGCAGAACATTGGATATCAAACACTATTCAGGAGGTACACATTGTGCGTCAGCAGTTGTTTGCTGTTCATTTTGGAGCACACCGTTATCTGACTTTGCAGTGACAGTCTGGGGCAGTGCTGTGATCCGGTTACAGTGAAGCCTAGAGCTGCAGACCCAGTGGAGCTGGATCAGATATCCCCAGAAAGAAATGCCCTGTTTTATCACCCAAGTTAGTGGCATCTGTCCCTCACTCATCCACAAAGCTGCCAAGACCTCAGAAGAATATCTGCAGCAACTGATCAAAGCCATTCATCACACGGCCACCAAGAAGACGAGGACAGAGGAAACCAAGCTCAAGTGTTAAAAATCGAAAGAGCACTTTGTCCTCACCTGCCGTCACTGACACACCACGGGGAACAGGGGCAGATACACAACTTCAAACCATACTTCAACCATGAAACTATACACATGACGGCAATAACAAGTTTGTCACATGAAAAGCATAGGATTTTGGCAATTAAATTAAGAGTATGAGATATTTTGAAAAGAAGAAGAGGCGTCGGTCAATCGTGCAGTACCCTAAATTAAACAAAAAGACAATCATGATTATTATTGGATTGTTGGGGATTTGGAATTTGGGCGAAATTGCTTCCATCACTATAATTACCATTGTTAATTTGTGTATATTTATTCTAGACATTTACCAAATACCATTGTTCAAAAGTTTTATTCTTCAATTGGATCGTCGACAGAAACCTGCTGTTCCTCATTTGCTTCATTTTGTCCTCATTTTCTAACTTTGAATGTAAAACTTGCCTCCTTGGCCCTTTCAGCAGGAGTACATATTGCACAGGAAAGAGGAAATGACAAATCAGAAAATATGATTTGGTTGTCACGCAGTCAGCAGTCCGAGTTTACAGGCTCGTAATAGTCCTACTCCCTACAACGTGACACGGGACGTCAACTGTGGTAAATGTTCAGGTCTGGAATAACAAAGCAATCTATGGAAAAGGCAATGAAAGCAATCATCTAATTACATGTGCATCTCTCAGTCCATAAATCTCAGGCCGGTTACAGCCGTGTTTAACAGCTTGTTTGAACGATCACATTGGTCAACTTGACATCGGCTTAATGGCTGCTAAACAGTAAAAAGGGTCTGGTTCAATAAAGTATGAAAAGCTATTACTTTGAAACTACAAGCTAATTTATAGGCTGGAGAAAACCATTGGAAATCTCTGCACTGTGACGCCATGTTTGGTTGTTCCATCCTAAAAACAGGTGCCGGTTTTATCCATCGTTTTATCTTTAAACATAAGTTGATAATATAAAAAAGATGTGTCTTAAAGCTAGACCTTTCAAACCTCAAACATGTAATAATTAAAGTTTGGTTCTATCACTAATTTTCACATTCATGTAGGATTGGGCTCCGTCACATCTTTAGGTCATCTTTCTCAGACAGAAAAGTGAAAAAGAGAGGACCACCCTCACTCAGCCAATCAGCTCCGAGTACAATAAAGACAGTTTGTTTTGGTCCGATTTGTTCACATAATGTTCCATCCATCCATCCATTTTCTTCCGCTTTATCCGTTGCCGGGTCGCGGGGGCAGCAGTCTAAGCAGAGACGCCCAGACTTCCCTATCCACACACACTTCCTCCAGCTCGTCCGGGGGGACCCCAAGGCGTTCCCAGGCCAGCTGAGAGACATAGTCCCTCCAGCGTGTCCTAGGTCTTCCGCGGGGCCTCCTCCCGGTGGGACGTGCCCGGAACACCTCCCCAGGGAGGCGTCCAGGAGGCATCCGGAACAGATGCCCGAGCCACCTCAACTGGTTCCTCTCGACGTGGAGAAGCAGCGGCTCTACTCCGAGCTCCTCCCGTGTGACTGAGCTCCTCACCCTATCTCTAAGGGAGCGCCCAGCCACTCTGCGGAGGAAGCTCATTTCGACCGCTTGTATCCGCGATCTCGTTCTTTCGGTCATTACCCAAAGCTCATGACCATAGGTGAGGGAGGGAACGAAGATTGACCGGTAAATCGAGAGCTTTGCCTTTCGGCTCAGCTCCTTCTTTACCACAACAGTCCGATACAGCGACCGCATCACTGCGCACGCTGCACCGATCCGCCTGTCAATCTCACGCTCCATTCTTCCCTCACTCGTGAACAAGACCCCGAGATACTTGAACTCCTCCACTTGAGGAAGGACCTCTCCACCCACCTGCAGAGGGCAGGGCACCTTTTTCCGGTCGAGCACCATGGCCTCAGATTTGGAGGTGCTGATTCTCATCCCAGCCGCTTCACACTCGGCTGCAAACCGTCCCAGTGCATGCTGCAGGTCCTGGTTCGTTGGAGCCAACAGGACAACATCGTCCGCAAACAGCAGAGATGAAATCCTGTGGTCCCCGAACCGGACCCCCTCCGACCCCTGGCTGCGCCTAGATATTCTGTCCATAAATACAGTGAACAGAACCGGTGACAAAGGGCAGCCCTGTCGGAGGCCAACATTCACCGGGAACAGGTCTGACTTACTGCCGGCAATGCGAACACAGCTCCGGCTCCGGTCATACAGGGACCGGATGGCCCTCAGCAGAGGACCCCCGACCCCGTACTCCCGGAGAACCCCCCAAAGGACACCCCGGGGAACACAGTCGAACGCCTTCTCCAAATCCACAAAGCACATGTGGACAGGTTGGGCGAACTCCCATGAACCCTCGAGTATCCGATGGAGAGTATAGAGCTGGTCCAGTGTTCCGCGACCGGGACGAAAACCACACTGCTCCTCCTGGATCCGAGATTCGACCATCGGCCGTAGCCTCCTCTCCAGTACCTTGGAGTAGACCTTACCGGGGAGGCTGAGGAGTGTGATCCCACGATAATTGGAACACACCCTCCGGTCCCCCTTCTTGTAGAGAGGGACCACCACCCCGGTCTGCCACTCCATTGGCACCGCCCCCGATCGCCACGCGATGTTGCAGAGACGTGTCAGCCAAGACAGTCCTACAACATCCAGAGACTTTAGATAATCAGGGCGGATCTCATCCACACCCGGAGCCTTGCCACCATGGAGGCTACCAACCACCTTGGTGACCTCAGCCAGGGAGATGGATGTATCCGCCCCAACATCCTCAGCCTCTGCCTCTGAAACAGAGGACGTGACGGGGGGATTGAGGAGAACCTCAAAGTATTCCTTCCACCGCCCGACAATATCCCCAGTCGAGGTCAGCAGCTCTCCACCCGCACCGTACAGGTGTTGGCAAAGAACTGCTTCCCCCTCCTGAGGCGCCGGACGGTTTGCCAGAATTTCTTTGAGGCCGACCGATAGTCATGCTCCATGGACTCTCCGAACTCCTCCCAGTCCCGGGTTTTTGCCTCTGCAACAGCCCGGGCCGCGGCACGCTTGGCCTGCCGGTACTGGACAGCTGCCTCAGGAGTCCCCCGAACCATCATGGCTCGATAGGACTCCTTCTTCAGCCTGACAGCATCCCTTACTGCCGGTGTCCACCACCGGGTTCGGGGGTTGCCGCCGGGACCAGCACCAGAGACCTTGCGACCACAGCTATGAGCCGCCGCATCGGCGATTGAGGCAGAGAACATGGTCCACTCGGACTCCATGTCCCCCTCCTCCACCGGGACCTGGGAGAAACTCTCCCGGAGGTGTGAGTTGAAAGTCCGTCTGACAGGGGGCTCAGCGAGACGTTCCCAGCAGACCCTCACTATACGCTTGGGTCTGCCAGGTCTGACCGGCTTCTTCCCCTGCCAGCGGATCCAACTCACGACCAGGTGATGATCGGTTGACAGCTCCGCCCCTCTCTTTACCCGAGTGTCCGAGACACGCGGTCGAAGGTCAGATGATACGACAACAAAGTCGATCATCGACCTCCGGCCTAGGGTGTCCTGGTGCCACGTGCACTGGTGGACACCCTTGTGCTCGAACATGGTGTTCGTGATGGACAAACTGTGACTGGCACAGAAGTCTAACAACTGAACACCGCTCGGGTTCAGATCAGGGGGGCCGCTCTTCCCGATCACCCCTCTCCAAGTGTCACTGGCGTTTCCCACATGGGCGTTGAAGTCCCCCAGGAGAATAACGGAGTCCCCGGGCGGTGCACCGTCCAGTACCCCTCCCAAGGACTCCAAGAAGGCCGGGTACTCTGCACTGCTGTTAGGCCCGTAGGCCGTCACAACAGTGAGAGACTTATCCCCCACCCGGAGGCGGAGGGACGCGACCCTCTCATTCACCGGGGAGAACTCCAACACGTGGCGGCTGAGATGGGGGGCAATGAGAATGGCCACCCCAGCTCGCCGCCTCTCCCCGCGGGAAACACCAGAAAAGTGGAGCGTCCAACCCCTCTCAAGGAGTTGGGTTCCAGAGCCCAAGCTGTGTGTGGAGGTGAGGCCGACTATCTCTAGTCGGTATCGCTCAACCTCCCCCACGAGCTCGGGCTCCTTCCCCCCCAGTGAGGTGACGTTCCACGTCCCAAGAGCCAGCTGTTGTGTGTGCGGACTGGGTCGTCGAGGTCTCCGCCTTCGACTGCTGCCCAGTCCTCTCTGCACCGTTTCGCCACCACGGACCCCTCTGCGGGTGGTGGGCCCACAGGAGGGACTGCCCACGTCGTCCATTCGGGCTGAGCCCGGCCGGGCCCCGTGGGCTAAGGCCCGGCCACCAGGCGCTCGCCTACGAGCCCCGACCCCAGGCCTGGCTCCAGGGTGGGGCCCCGGCTGCGCCATGCCGGGCGACGTCACTGATTTCTTTTGAGTGCTGTCCATGGTGTCTTCTGGACTGCTCTTTGTCTGACTCGTCACCCGAGACCTGTCTGCCATGGGAGGCCCTACCAGGGGCATGAAGCCCCAGACAGCATAGCTCCCAGGATCATCCGAGTACTCAAACTCCCCCACCACGTTAAGGTGGCAGTCCAGGGGGGAGGTTAATGTCACATAAATTAAATAAAGTCACATAATGTTACTTTAATATTTTTACTTGGGGACAAACAAAGATGTATAGATGAAATACAAAAAGGTTAGTACTCCAGCTTTCAGAATGAAAACAATGAATGACAAAATAAAGAAATTCCAAAGTAGTACCGGTACGTGACAGAGAATTCAGTTTGTACGTGTTGCATCTGAGCCGTGAGCCCCCAGTGACGAGGGGGAAACTGACGTCAGGGATTTGTCACTGGATTCAGCTGCCGCCGTGAACTTTGCCATCAGAGCTGCAGAGCCGATGTCGGGCAGACCCCTCAAACTGGGGGTCAGCCACTCACCAGGGGTCATCTGGATGGTGGGGGTGTGGACCACGGTGCTCTGAGGAGTGGGAGACACCACCTGGATAGAGACGTCCGAGTTCTCCAGCTGAGGGCTTTCGGGAAGATCAGCCATAGACGAGCCGACTGAAAGAATGACAAATGTTGATATTGGAAAGATCAGTGATTCTTTTGTGAACAGTATGTGATAGGAATTTTCTGATTTAAAAAAATGCAGTTAAAGGGCCTCACGACTATCCAATCCATCGCATTAATTAATACAGCTAAAAAAAGTAATCGGTTTTATATTTTAGTTCAATTGTTTTTAAACCTGATTAAATGAAAGGTATGACTCACGCTTTGCCCTCTGCACTTGGAGCTTGTTATTCGACTCCATGGTGCAATAAATATCTAGCGCGTCAGTCCCAGTCAAGGACGGTCTTGTTGTGATGCATGACCTGTTGAGCGCTGCACCTGTCCGTCTGCCGTAACCTTCTGACCCGTGACATATCGTCGGGAGCTGCCAGAGCGCTTCTCTGTGTCTTATAGATTTTAAATTCTGCATCTATGGCTAATTCTGGTTTCAGACTGTGAAATGGCAACGCAGGCGTCACGTGTCCGTCTCCTCGGGTCAGTTGAGATGAGTGCAGCTGTTGCCAGGTCAACTTAAAGAAAAGAATGGGGGAAGGGGCCGCGGTCTGGTTCAGATAAAGTGTAACCATTTTGTTATTATCTTTACTGCTAAAACACTAAAAAACAACACATCTTCATTTCCTAATTTGTTTTTATAACGTGGGCTTTTATATGTACTTTCTATGCAATAACAATGTTGCTCTGTTTTTGTCAATTCATATAAAACTTTCTCCAGTTCAAGTGAATGCAAGTTTTGTATCACATTTGTCAATATGAATATAGTGTCTCCTTATAAACAATGAACACAGCTAATAATACACTAGTGCCTTATTTAAAGCTATTTTGCCAAAATTAGGGTTGCCAAAGATTCTGTATGTCTGTGGTAGAAGACGTATTTCAGGCTGATGACCCTGGATCCATAATAATATCTGGTGACATATAGACGTTGTGATTGGCAGCTTAAAACCTAATATTAATCGTATGAATAGGAAAATCTGTGTACATTTTGTAAACGCAAATTGAAACACATGAATATACATGTGAAGTCAGCAGTAGTGGGTATGAGCAGTGCAGAGGTGGCAGGAGCATAGCCAGAGCCATTGTTGTCAGGAATGTGTGATTATGATAGACCTATTGTGTGAATCCAGCAAAACAGATAGCATAAAACAGTGGGAAATAATGTTTATACAGCAAATAATCCTGCAACAATGATATAGTACATGCTTGTCCACGTTTGCTGTAAATATCATGTATCTGTTGGCAGTAAGACAGACTAATGTATAATTCTCTAAAGCACATTACATTTGAGCCCATACTGTAGTCTAGTATTACAAATTAAAATGGGTTAGAATTCATTACGGAAATGTATTTTTAAAACAATAATATATCATGGTTCATTGAAATTAAACATGCCACTTCCCCTCATCATAAAATCAATGCTCACAATTATAACTTGACTCTATATTGTAGCACTTCCTGTTTGTGCCCCAGTACTGCCAGACTGGAGACATCACTATTCTTCATCAATAAACAATGTTATTTCATTTGCTTTTTTTACTCTTTTGCATTTGTTTATCAACGTAAAACATTTTACAGAAAACTACTGTATATTGAATTTCAACTGTTTTGTCACCATCTTATATTCATCAACCCCAGCTAACCTCACTTCTTTCCAATGTGTACACAACCAACATGTGACACACTACAACATTTATAGCCGACGCTAATTCCCAATGTCCGACCCGGTTATAATCTTTACAATTATTATCTCGACAAGACAATACGGCACTGTATTATCTGTCCTTGTATCAATGACTTTGTGTTGTCCTGCTCAACCAGGTGCAATGGTGCCATTGTGTGTATTTATTAGACTTTTATGAAGACGTTCTATGCATGTCTTTATATCTATATATATGCTTCCTTATTAAGCTAAAGCTAGAGATGTTATTCTATGTTAATTTGTTTAGTAAAGAGTTTAGTATAGAGCTCTGTTAATTTATCTTGTGCTATGTGCTCATTCCTACTGTTGTGAACCGGTGATGCAACACTGACATTTCCCCAGTGTGGGGCAAACTTACTGATCTCTTTATCTTAACTTCTTTCTTTACTTTTTTTAATAATAAGTTTGCCACCATATATCAAAGTAAACTTTGAGTTTGGGACATCCCCTTACTTAGAATGGCAATAAAAATAATTTTGTGATCCATGACTATATCTGAAGAACTGGACTGTGTAATGAAGCTTAAGCGCAAATTCAGACTGGGAAGACGTGCATGCTGCAGTTCTCACCTCACACAGCTCTGCCAGCCTCAAGCCTCAGCCAATTGCACAGCTCGGCCAGCCCCCTGCCAACCACTGACAGCAAAGCCGGCAGTTCTAAAGCAGCCACTTCCTACTAACCAGCCCTTCCTGAAGCTCTTGACACCCACCGCCTCCCCAGCACCTCCTCGAGCTCCTGCTCTGGCAACTGCTCCGCCTACGCCCCATTCACACCATGCTTCTAGCCACCACCAGTGCTTGACCCCAGGGGATCTGAGATCATCTCAGCAGCAGTGATCTCCCCTCTGCAAGTGTCACTGCCGGGGTCAATGCGCCAAACAATAAATCTTTCTAAATGCATTAACGTGTCTGTCTTGGTCTCTCCTGATTGAACTGACTGAACTGTACTACGCAGTAAAAGTACCTCTGCTCTCTTGTTGGGCCCAGAACCTTTGCACTGTTTTGAAAATGTCCTGATTCTCCCTCAGTTCCTTCTGCCACTGTCGGAGCTCCTGGACCTCTGGCTGTGCCCTTACCTTCACAACACAAATGAACAAAGAGGAATACTTTATTTACATAACATAAAACATGACATGAAAATTGAATTTAATGGTCACAAGAAAAACATTCAAAGAAGGATGAACACTATCTGGAAGATAATAGACAGTGCGGTAAAATGGTGATATTATTAGAAGAGAGTGTAAATTATGTTTTCAATAGTCTTTGTGTTCTCATAACATTGCACTGACTTATTAACCCTTGTGCTATCCTCAAGTCAAAATTACCCACCAATGATTTACAATTAACCCCCCCAAAAAATAAAAGCTGAATATTGATGATTTTTCCTAAATGACCAGCCCTGGGTTATTCTTTTAGACCATAATTTAGGGTCTAAAATAGTAAAAACATGGTCATAATGATCAACCACAGTGAATAAAAGTAGAATAAAAAAACCACTATATATATTAGGATACGCAGAAGCGGTCAAGTAACGAAAATCATCAGAATTTATCTTGAAAAATAACCAAAACATTTAGGGAAATTACTGACTGTGAGTATAGCACAATTAAAATGCTAAAAGCCCCAATGCAGTGTTTGTGCATGTGTGTGTGCGGGCGACCTTGCAGCTTGATTAATGAACGGGCTCATTGTAGGGCTTTACTTTTCTTTACCCGTTTGGTATTTAGTCTCCTGCTTTATTAAAACTTCAACAACTTTCTTTCTCCAAATCCTTTTCAGCTCTGATCCTCAATGTGCAGGTTCTTGAGTGCCTGAGCATTGGGCTGGTCTGAGAATAGGCCGTTATATAATGCACAGGCTGGACAAGGATCCGTCTGCAGAGAGGGTCTCCAATAGTTAATTTGCTCATACAAATGGAAATCAGGGTCTGGGGTCAGAGAGGTTGTGTTTTCTTCTGATGTCACTTTCACTCAGTTTGACGCAAGGCCACCGTGAATCTTTACACAATACTAGTTCACTAAAACGAAACCTATTACAGTAAATACACGGCCGCTCACACATTCACAAGTAGTCAGTGTTCTTGAGAAGCTTCCAGTGCAGATGCATTGAGCCTGGTCGTACCACACCATTGTACAGATTACTGCAGGGAAATGATGATTGACCGAAGTGTACGGATGGCTAAGGCCAGGCTGGTGCAGCAGGAAATCTCAGAGTAGTGTGTACCACCAGAGGTACTAAAAGAGAGACCAGAATAAGCTATTTTATTTGATACAATTTTAGCACGTTGGAACTCAAGAAACAGGTCTAAAATAGTTACTAGCCCGATTGCACACAACTTTTACTGTAGTGTTTTAGTGACCCAGATTGGTCAATTAAGGCAAGGCAAGTTTGCTTGTATAGCACAATTCATACACAAGGCAACAAAAAGTGCTGAACAAAACAAGATAGAAAGAACCACACAAGGCATTCAAATCATAAATAATCACAGTACATACAAAAGGTGAAGATTAAATTGCTGAGTTGTATGCACAGCTAAAAAAAAAAACATTGTTAGAGAAGAAGATGGCTGTTACAATATGAGGCCATTTCATAGAGAAAAGAAGAAGTAAGATTCATCAGGCTTTGATATGGAAAGACAAATCAGGGATCGTTCGAAACAAGAATCAGAATAAACTGGTTTAAACTGGTGATTTGTTTTGCTCATCTCACCAAAACAAGATACAGACGCAGAATAGGCCTGTTCTATTTTTAAAAGAGGCTTCCATCTTACATGAGTAACAATCACAGACCCCAGTCACATGCTAACACAAGCTCTAAAGACCTGCTGCGTGCCAAGTTACAGCCTGGATAAATAGCTACTGAATCACAGGTATAGATTGCTAATTATCCTTAGGCGTCCTCTTGTGTAATGGCGTCACTGATTGACAATACACCAGACCTATTTTTCCATCCATTTAGTTTATCTGTGGCTGCAGAGCTTTCATCCGGAATCGCAGACCCACTTCTGCTGTTGACTGTAAGGCTTGCAGAGTGGCGAGTGCGCAGTTCTTTCAACCAGCTCTATCAGTTTATGCCAAATACAATATCCCTCAATACAGACGCATCATGGCCCACTTTCAAGACAATGGTACGATGGCTCTAAGGATATCCTGTGCACTAGAGTAGAAATGATGAAAGAATAAAAGTACTGGTTAATATAGACAGCTACGATAAGGTCATGTTTATACTGTATGTTTTTTATGAAGGCTGAATCAATCTAAAACTGCGGCGCATTCTCGTCTCACAAAAGAGACATCTCCATAATAACTGGTGCGTTAAAATAGATCTGAGAAATGGAAAAAAACAGGTTTGTTCTGGTGAGAGATGCAGATCCAAGGAACAAAATGGCAACTTCTCCCGTTAGTATGATAATCTGTTGTGAAATTCATCTAGGTGCAATATACCTGCTGAAACTAATTTGCGAATTTTGTGCTTGAATAAAACAGCGCATGGTAAATCAGTGTAGCAATTTGATTAGTACATCTGCTCAGCTCAAATCAGGGAAAGGCGCATAGTAAAGACAAGGACGGTGTACACAAATTTGATTGTGGCCTTCTGCGACCTCCTGCTTGAATGACGGGTGGTTGCTTTTCACATTAGATTAGAGAAGGCAGCCCACTCTGGACAAGGCCACACTTAATACATCTTCACTTGTGGAGATAGAGGAAATGGCTGTGAGAAAAGCTTTCGGCCACAAAGCCCTGATGCTGATACCCTAATATGAAAGCCTATTTATTACCACCGCTCTCCTCAGAAACCCATCAGAGCCGAGTCGATCTGAGAAAGTGTGAGGCATCTTACCCTTCACACTGTTTATGTGCAAGTCATACATATGCGTACATTATGGCATCAGACATGGATGAATGGATTAGAGCTGGAGCACAGGCTCAGTCCAAAGAAGATTATGTAATGTAAGTGCTTACGTTTCAGCTGTTTTCAAGGCAAAGGCGAGGCAATGTCGTTACGTGATTGGATGAGACAAATGAATGATGGAAATTAATGGGGAAATGATGAAAGGAGGCAGTAGAGATGGCCTCATGTGTGTCCAGGGGCTGGGCCTGTCTGATACACAGGCGCTCTGCAGTCAGCGCTGCGTCAGGGAGCTTATATAACAGCAGCAGTGTGAGTGAGGGTGCAGCGTGAGGGGCTGCACTAGTCCCCCTTATAGATGCAGAAGACGAGGCGGATGAAAATCTGAGGTCGTCAATAGATTAATTCTTTTGGTACTTTATCTTGATATTTATAAGGCTTGTTCCGTATATGATTATTACACCATGAAGTGGGTTATAGCATTTTCATTTGTGTGTAATATATAAATAACTTTATCTAAACTGTACAGGTGCACAGACTGTATTCATTGTTGGACAGAAATAGAGCTGTTACCAAACTGAACGAAGCACTTTAAATTGGATGATCTAGCACTTTGTCGCTTTTAGTATGTGCTTGTTTTTTAATCTTCTGTCACAGTGTCATTTGTTTCCCTATGTGTTTTTCTGTTTTTATTGTTGTCTATTGTGCACACTAAGTATTTGTGCATGAATACTTCATTGTGGTTTTTAAACTGCAAATGGTGAATGAACTGATTCTGAACAGGAATATGAAATTGGGGAATAATTGATATTCCATTGGCTGTAAAAGTTGTATTCATTTGATTGAAGATGGGTGTGTTCAGCAAATACTGAATAAGACATGACTCTTGCACAGGCCCAGAACGTCAAACTTGAGAAGTTCAGTTATGATGTTCTACAATATAACGTTTGTTCTTTAAATGATATTTAATGTAGTATATTAGTGATTGAATACATTACATTAGATCAGCATATTCTTAGGGAAAGCAGTACTTAAGATTCTCACATCTTTGTCTGGTAAAAGTAACCATTGTTGCCAAAACTTGTTTGTGTTAAAGTTTCTTTACTTTATTCATCAACAATTAAGTCTCCACTTTTGTACCAGGTCATGGGAGTACAGGGATAGATGGCTCACTACTGCCACCTAACACAATGTTTATCTCAAAGTGGGGGTCCGGACTTCCAGACTGCAAGATTATTTCAACATATAATTCCAAAATTCTTCTTTTTAAAAATGTACTATTACAATAATGGCAATTATGGCACTATATCTAAATAAGTTTATAAATACTAAAAACTAAAAACATATCACCACACTATTACATTTGACACAAATGAAATCCATCTGCCAATTTCAGTCTCAGTGGGAGTCGGGAGATAATTTCAAACTTGTTTTGGGGTCTGAGGAAGTTTGGAAAACCCTGTTTGCAATTTTTGGAAAACCACAAGACACTTTTAGTCATGTGCTTGTGTTGCCCTCTGGTGGCGAAACTATCAAACATACAGCCCAGAATAAAAAGAATGGGAGTAGTTTTTAAGTGCATGAATGGAGTCTATAGCAGAATGAATACTAAGCACAGAGGAAAATATAGGGATATTTTCTTTTGTACACACTTATCCTGAGGCACCAACAAGGCACTGACACAGCAGGGTTTGTCGACCTTTCACTTCACCCTGCTCCCATCTCTGTGTGGAGTGAGAGGACAAGTGCCCAAAAAAGTAACACTTGTAAACCGCTTTGTGACTCTGGTCTGTGAAAGGCGGTAATATAAAAAAAACATTACTTACCCACTTACTTACTTGTTCTAAACACTTTGGTGATGTTGCTGTGCATGACCTCTGTAATAATGTAAAACAATTTGTTTGTGTTTACCTTGTATCCTCTCCAAAACGCCTGGATAATGAGAGCGGCCTCTGCATCACTTAGTTGTAAAAATAAAGGAATGGGCGACCTCGGACTGAAAATGAAAACACAAGAGATGAGTTATTATCTTCAGTACTAAGAGGTGCTAGAGCTGGAGCATTTGAGTGTTGCAGCTAATTATTTTAGCCAAAGAGCACAATCTACACATCTATTAGATTCATAATAATTTTCCCAATAATTATATTGTTATGTTGTTGTTTTTTTTACATAGATAACACTAAAAAGTAATTTAGTTACTTTAGTTCACCCTTTAGAGGGTGTTCTCTCTGGGATCCCAAACATTTGCTTGAAATCTGGTCCCAACCTCTGCTTCCAAAATATGCTACACAAATTGTGGTGGTGTTTACGTTGTCATTGATTGTGTTGCTGACTTAATATAAACAATTGAACGACATCATCAATCATCAAAGTGTCAAATAATATGTGAAACCTCATCTTGAAACATCTGTTGTGGCTGGCATAGATCACAGGGATGGTGACACATGACTGCAGACTTACTGGAGGCTCAGCCACTCCTTCACAAATGGGATGTCGCACCACCTCACAGGCCTCTGTCCTTTTCGACGGGGGTTTTGGCTGGAACAAAGAAAGACACTCACTCCAATGACACATTTGAACCAAAATGTATATTTTCACGTGGGATAACTTACTTGTAAAGCCACTCCGTCAGGAAGTCACATGGATTAAATGCTGTAACTTTACGCTTTAAAACGAAGACCATACGATGCATTATTACGGTTTCACATAATAAACAGTCTGATAAGATACAGGCCCAAAAAGATTCTGACCCTAAAACTCTCTCCTCGTTCCAGGGATTAACTCCACACACTGGGATCCACAAGGATAATAATGTGAGGTATGGTCCCCATAGGAAAACTGGACACATCCTTCAATGAAGCTAGGGCAACCTAGCAGTGCAGTGTCCAGGGACCCTCTCCTTGGCTTGGTCAGGATCCCTGGAGCAGGAGGATTTTATCTATGGTGCATGCTCGGTGTGGTGGGGGTAACCAGAGCACCTGGAGAAAACTAGAGCTGCGACTAACGATTATTTTGTAATCGATTAATCTATCAATTATTTTTACAATTAATCGAGTAATCGCTTGGCTGTGAATTGTGTAGAAAAAAATTATTTTTTCATCACAAAAAGCTAAAGTGGCAACACTCGAGGACGTATTGATGGCGTAAACTTAAAGTAAATGTTTGTAACAGGCTCTTTGTGCTAATTCTGCTATCTGATTGGATGAGACAGACAGATATTCATGAAATTATAAAAACAAAGTCGGTTTTAATCAAAAATACTACATTTTCATGTCATTTTTGCTCTGTTTGAGTCCGTGTGAACCAGAAAACGATTAATCGATTACTAAAATAGTTGTCGACTATTTCAATAATCGATTAGTCGTCGATTAATCGATTAGTTGTTTCAGCCCTAGAGAAAACCCACCCAGACACAAGAGAAACTGAAAAGCGCTACTTAGAAACACGGAATTGAGGCACGACATTCTATGTGTGCAAACGTTATGAACACATGTACAGTTGAAACTGTTGAAAAGTCAAATCACTCTATATCATTATATACATATTTTCTGTTCAAATACAACCACCTTTAAGCATCCTTGTTTCACAGATTCATTTTGCAATGCCTCAAGTCCAGGCAGTAAAACGGGGAAAACACTCTTTTCCAGCCATTCTGTGAGAGGATCTACAAACATGTGGAAACAAACACAGCACAAGTAAAGAGACAATATTCTGGACAGAGTCAGAGACTTACGCCTCAGAGACTCAGACACTTACGCCCTGGCACTGGAGGTGAAGTACTTTGGGCAGAGTCTGGCTGATGGATCCAAATACTGGGTTTGCTCTGAACTGTAGGAGAGGACAACACTCTACAATGTCCACGTCCAGAAGCCTAACATGGACAAAACAAGAGTCATGATGAAGCACAAGGTCAACATGGTGTTTATATCTCTGGACATTCAACATGTGTATGCGTCCTGACCATACTTCCTGACCTCAGGTGTGAGAGTCATGGCTCCAGTCCCACGATGCACTGCGCGGACGTCCGAGTTTACAGTCAAACTGAGTCTGACGTAGAGCAAATGATGAACATGAAAACGCGGTACGGCGGACACAGCACTAAGCTTTAAAGCAGTTTTAAGCTTACCTCTATTTTCACTTACTGCAAGGATAGCTCTCTACACTTACTCTTCGTCGTTGCCCTGGACAACGGACGCGTAGATCGCCAAGGAAACAGGCCGCGGGCACTTCCGGGTGGAGCGAAGGTCGAGGCACTTTTACACATATTTATGATTTCTAATTGTTTGCAGAATCTGCACTCTCTCCTTCCTTTAGAGACAAGAGTAGATGTCTCAGGAGGCGCCATGGATTTATAATAATAACGGGGTGGCGCACTTATAAAGTCAAGTGTTATCGTGTTGGTCACTAGTACAGTCTACGGTCACTAGATGTCAGAAGAGCTTAATGATAAAAATGGTCAACACAGCGAAAATAAAATTATTTAAAATCTTTATTGGAATAATATTCCAACGGAGCCACGTTATCTCATGACTGAACAAAAATAGCGTTTCTTATCTTTAAAAAAAAAAAAAAAAAAGCCCCATGTAATTTCCAAAATCCACAAAATCGCTTTTATAACAAAATATACATTGCAGTAACTCATAATTTGTGGTCACTAACTGACCTGTTAATAAATAACATTGTGAACAAACTTTTTACAGAACATCTCAGCCTTTCTCATTCTTGTAACCAAAATCAACACATTGGTTTCTCAAATATTTTCTAAGACTGTGCTTAACAATTACCTTTTTACAGTGCATTTCTTTACATCATAAACACAATTAACTTCAAATAAAAATCATTATGGTGACAAATCTCTAACAGAAGCTGGAAAAATTGTTTGCAAAATGTGGTCTAGTAGTGCAGAGGGCACTACTAGAGCACATTTTCAAGGAAAATATTTCCTCCTTATAGATAAAGCGATAAAAGCAAGCCCTTCACAGCTCTCTGGTAGATAAGTCATAATTTGGAGTTTAAAATCCAGGCACTGGACCGAGCAGATGAGACCACATTTTTTTGAATGGTGCAAGTAAATCCAAGCTTAGCAAGCCACATGCTAATACGTTTTGGGTTTTTGCGCACAACCCTATAAACCGCTGCACATAATTGTCAAACAATCTTACAAAGACTATCATCATCAGGCCAGTGGTTATGTGATTCTGTGGACAGAGGAAGACTTTCAGGAGGTCTTCTCCATAAACATTCAAAACCTGTCTAGTTGTATTGCCTATACAAAATTATTTCAGATATGAACATGAAACAAAAAGAACACACACAAGGTATTGTGTCCATGTATCAGGCAAAGATGAAGTGGCTTCAAAGCTAAAACAAAAGTCCAAAGTAATAGACGATATACAAGCATTCTTCTCGCGTAAAGAAAACAGAATGCTCTAGATTGTGCATTTTTTCCAGTTGCGAGTCAAACGATCATAATTCAGTGCAAAAGCATAAAAAAGACTGCTAGCTTCTTTTGTGGTTCATTTCCTGTTCTTCCATAGTCCCTCTATATATATATATCTATATATGTCAATCTTCCAGTATAAAACACATGCATAAAGCAATCCTTCTCTGGCATGAAAAATGTCCAAATATATGAAAGAGTTCCATTTTAAAAGTTGGCATTGGTTATGTACAAATAATGATATGTCCTTGGATGCGTTGATGTTGGTGTTCATTGTGGCTGAGGTTCTCCGTGAACTCTTATCCGGTAGAGGCAGGTGTATTCTGGGTGACCCCAGTTTGACAGCACACGCACCTCAATGATCTGGAACGCCTTTTCATTGGGCTCCTGGCAAAAACAGAAGAATGGGTGATAATCCTCCCTACAGACCAGTACATCAGACAATATGGTGACCGTTTTTACCTGGACTGGAAAGGTTTGCAGAGAGTCTCCATCTTCTTGGTAAATGTAGTTTCCCAGAAGTGTTCCTTCTTCTTGATACTCATCGTCCAACCCCTTCAAAATAACGTTTTAGATCAACGTTGCTCAACATGTCACTGGTGCGGCACTAAAGAGAGACTTACAAAGACAGTGAAGTTCCGTGGAGCGCTGGTGATGTTTCCAGTTGGAGATAGCGTCTTCGGAATGTGCTCCACACAGAAAGACGTGGGCCGGACTCTCATAGACAAACGGATCACCAGGTAGCCCTGAGACCCTTTAAATGCCCAGCAATTCCCTGGGTACACGTCAGGCTAAGACCAAAAAGAACAACATAGAGCTGTAAATTCACGGTGTTGTTAATACGGGAGGTTTGACTTTGAGGATAATCTTACCTGGATGACGACGCGAGGAGACTGGGAGAAGTACCACAGAGGCAGACCGAACAAGCTCATGAGGGCAGTCTTGGTCTCATAGGTCTCAGAGCAGCGGGTGCTCAGGATACTGCCACCTGAAATTCCATTGATAAATTACTGTAACGTTACATGCTGTACAAACCATCTACAGCTAAATCATTGCATTTACCAAATATATCCATTAAATATACCAATCTGCACCAAGCAAAACAACACTTAAATAATTATATTCTAAAATCCCTTTTTAAATGACATCATCTTATCTCCTGATGACCCATAACTGAAATCTGTCAAGGAAACTAAATGCTGTAATAGTCTGTTCGCCAAGCACTACTATGATCTGGATCAACATGCTGCGACTTAAAAGGCGACTAATGCCCTGATGTCCTCCAGGCTGGATAATACTGACATCCATGTTACATAACAGTGAAAGAGCCAAGGAGGAGGACAACCCTGGGCTAAAACACAACAGGCTACGCAAATACAACAGGTTTTGCAGCTTTTTCACATAAAAATGAGCTGAACTGACCTCCAGATTCCAGGGCAAAGTCCACCAGGCCTGTTCGATCTTGAGAAAAGAGCTTCAAAGCATTCTGAACAATCACTTTAACATTCTGTAGGGACCAAACACATAAATTACTAGTTTTGGAACCGTTCACAAACTTACACAAAAGGAACAGAAGGAACAGAAGTCATACCTCTTCAGAGAGCCCTTCAGCAGAGGCAGCGTGGTGGACGGTGCCTGAAACGGTCTGAACGATGCTCTGAGTGTGGGACTGGACCTCTCCCATGGTCTGAGCCTTGCTGAGCTCCAGCTGCAGCGACACATTTCGGAGGATGTTGAGTTCGAGTTCTGCCAGAGCGGCCCTCAGGTCTGGGGTGCTGGTGTAGTGCTGCGACAGCCAGAGGAGCAGTGACTCGGGGACCTCTCCCTTGTTACTGCTGCCATAGAAAAGGGCCTGCAGTTCTCTCCGCACTTGAGCAGACACCTCGGAAGAGATCTGAGAGGAGACCTGAGCCGAAAGCTGAGAGAAACAAGAAAAAAAAAAATCAGTATCAGCATTTATTTACTCCATATTCAGGACATATTGTATCTCCACATAAATTAACCTTAAAGTTTAATCCACCCTGAAAATAATCCATATAAAATAAGATCAAATGTATTGATCCCGAAGGAAATTACAGTAATGCCGGCTGCTCTCATTCACACAGTCACAGGGACATAATAAATGTATAATCCATATATAACCATAAATTGTGAAAATCACATAATTTAACACAATAATGACTGAGCATTTACATTCCATGCATAATGAGTGGACAGGAGATGATGTTTGTTAAAGATTAGTTTATACATTCTCTATGTCTTGAAGTTTACATAGTCTTTCTAAACTTCAAGACATTGAAATAATATACAGTATCCTCATTACCCAGTACTTCTGTGGTTATTTACACACATGTATCCAGACGCAGCAATAGTGCAGAATCAAACCGATAATTTGTATTCACTCACAGTCTCTTGTAAGGAGTCCAGCTGCTCACACTTCCCCTTGCATCCAATCACACCTTGCAGATCGGCTCGGATTTTTCCCAGTTCAGACTCCAGCCTCTTCACTTCAGCCAGGAGAGCGTCATGGTCCTCCTGCTGCACGCCCACACTGACAGGAAGCAGAGGCAGAGTTAAAAATACAGAAAACATGCTCACAAACTGTAATGTTTACATATTTCTCCAAGTTGTGTTACCTGACAGGGGCTGCATCTACAGCCTGTTTTTCACTTTCCTCGCTCCTGGACTCAAAGTGCAGCTGCTTTTGTTGCACCTCCTACAACAGAAAAATACTAATGTTTTGAAGGCCGATAAAGAAAACTTGCCCAAATTTAAGACATTGCTAGTTCAATTCAAAGTCTACATCTTTTATTAAACCATTTCTATTCTGTACTGCTGATGACCAGATATGGAAAACCTAAATACACATTTGCTAAATAGGAACTCCAACTCAAGATTTCACAAAAACACATTTTCCTCTGTATGGCTTTAGCCTCAACTCCCTCGCAATGTCTGTGAGTAAATTTTACATGCACATTGCGTTTCACTTTTATTTCATTATATTGTGGTGGTACCAGTGTATTGCCACAATATACTCTGAAATGGCCACAATATTTATAGTTTGGCTACTAGGGCAAAGCACCTAAATGCTAACCTTTCCCATTTCCTCCTACTAATTAAATAACAATGGCTTAAAGCAAAGCCTAAAAACGTAATCTTGAGCATATGCTCATGATATACCTCAGTTCTGGCAGCCAAAGCTTTAAGCAGCAGTTCCAGCTCTGCCAGTTGCACTCCCTGACTCTCCTGCTGTTGCTTCTGCTGTTCTGCCATCTGAGGAAAGAACATGATACAAAACTCAGCGTTTGAACTTCATTTGAAACCTGTGCATTTGTCAGTCCTGAGGTCATACCTCTGCCCGCTGTGCCCCATCATTGTCCAGCTCTCCCTGCAGCACTCCGAGCCTTTGTTCCAGGACTGAGGACACCCACAGTCCCAGTCTCTCTCTGTCGGTCTCTGTGTGGAGCTGCTCCTTCAGGCTGTTGTACAGAACCAGAATGTCCCTGTGCCGCTGCTCCTGCCTCACGTCACCCTGCTTCACCTGCTCCCACAGCAGGGCCAGCTGCTGCTCCACCTTCTCCAAACGGGACAAATCCACAGCAGAGAGGACCGCTGGAGGAAGCACCACCTGGAGACAGTAAGAGGACGTTAGATTAAGAACTCTATAGTTCTCAGCGAAAGACACAAGTATTAAATAGTATAATTTGCTTGCAGAAAAGAGCCTAAATCATCAGCCTACTAAGACATTGATGTAAAACTGTTAAGTTATATAACTTGATCAGTAACTTCCTGCATAATTTTCTGTTTCAGAACTACAATCTGTGCACAAACATGATCAACAAAGCCTCTGCCTATAGTTAAGGAAAGACACCAAGATAAGCAGCCTTTCATACCGTTGCCTGTGTCACTGGAGTGGCTGGGGTGTATTCCACTGGAGCCTCAGGGGCTGGAGCAGAGACAGACACAGACTTCTGGTTCATTCGCATGTTGGACAGCAAAGTTAAAGGAGACGCTGGACGCCACTCTGTGAGGTTTAGTGCTGGGAGGTAGGCGAGGAGAGCTGCAGTGGACGGACCCCACAAGAAAAGGGCTGCATGAAAAAGATGGACAAAAAAGTGTTGGCCAAATGCCCAGAATGTCTGCTTGTAATGGTACTTCTGACTTCTGTCAACACTACGACTACTTACCAAGGAGAAGTAAAAACAGTAATAACAGCAGCAAAAGAAGCTTCCAGAGCTTAGGAAGGCTAAAACACAAAACAGATGGAAAAGTGACATTGGTGTAAAACTGTTTTTGTCTTATGCAATTGTCAACAATGTCAATAACACCATCTTACCTTGTGAGAAAAAACACATTCAGAAGAGACATTAGATGAACCAAGCGATACCATCCACAGGCAAGAAACCACAAAAGCCCTTTTCCTGCATTTACTGCCAAGGAAATAAAAAGAACATGAGAACCTTGCCATATTTTAAAGAACTAATTAAGCATATGCATGCACCTGGAGCAGCCAGCAGGAGCCACAACACAGAAGCCGTCTTGTGAATTACAGTTCCAGCCCCTGAGGCTAAAGCTTTAGTTGCAGTTACTATAAAGTATCCAGGCTGACTGAGGCAGGAGCCTGAAAGTAACAATACAAAGGGACTTAGCAAAAGTCATTTAGTTAACCTGCACAAAACAAGAGATGTTTGACCTGCGAAAGAGAGTACACTCCAGAATGCCCCCAGCAGACTACTGCGCCTGGAGCTTTGTGAGAGCAGGACGGTATGAGTTTCTGAATACTGCTTTCCTTTACAGTCATCACCTGTTGCAACCAAAATAAAACACAAATAAAAAAAATGAATGGTACATCGACAGAAGGCAAAATATTCAGGAGCATGCAAACATGAGTCACATCACTCGTCACACCCTTGTGCTTTCACAAAAGCCTGTCTCACGGCCCCACCCTGTACGCGCCACCAACAGTACTCAATAATTTAATTAGTCAAACATAAATAGCACTAGTTCCGGCAAAAATAAGGTATCTAGACAAAAATAATTATACATTTTGTATTTAAGCAGCATTCACAGGCAAAACAAGTGCTCTCTTTACTCCAGTGTAGCATTAGCTCACAATCCCATAGAAATAGTATATTAAGTATTTTCTTACATAAAGACCCATTAAACTTGAGGTGTGATGCATCTTCAGCTGCCAGATCCTTCACATTCAAGCTGCCACAAAAGCTTGAGTGTGCTGCAATACAAAAAAACATTATGATGATATCTCCTGAACTGCCACATCAGAGAAGAGACCTCCAATACCTTGATGGTTCTGCGTTGTCCTGTAGTTGCCCATCAGTCTATGGAGAGTGCACTGTTTTAACAACCGCAGTTGGGACATACTGGATGACAGAGCGTTCCCTACTGAGCTTGAAAATGACGAAGCCCCTGGTGACAAAAGCGCCCCATATGGTCATCAGCAAAAGCATATTAAAAGTAAAAATGGAAAGAAGAAGTGATCAAAAGGAAAGTTCTACATTGCAGGATATTAAAGCTGGGGCACTTTTTCCTCATAAAACTTTTTTTTTTGTGAATAAATAAGACTATAGCATTTGGTCTTCACCTTATTAGAGAAAACATATTTTCATTTCCATACTTGTAAGAAAGAGCCATGTGGGCCAGTGTATGACAGTTTGGACTGAGAGCTGAATGACTGAGTGAGTGAGTGTGGCGAGAGGGGTCCACTCTTTTTCCCTTTCCTCTCTGAAAAAGTTGATCTAAAGATGTGACAGAGACCAAAAAATAGATGCATGTGGAATCTAGTAATAATATCTTGAGACCGAGGAACTAGTAAGATGGATTTCATCACATAGTTAAATTTCATCATAGTTAAATCATCCATCCATCCATCCATTTTCTACCCTTTAATCCATTTCTGGGTCAGGGGGGTGGCAGTCAGAGATGCCACCCAAGTCTCATAGCACCAGCCCCTCACTGACCCTCTGCAGGTGGTGAGTCCACAGGAGGACGGCTGCTCTCTGACTGTGAGCAGAGCCTTGATCTTTCAGTGGGGGCTTTGGGCAAAGTGGGATTAAGTGTCTTGCCCAAGGACACAACGACAGCAGACATCAGTGGGAGTCGGTGGAGAAGGTGCAGAGGTGGGAATTGAACCCACGACCTTCTGGCCTAAAGGCCAATGCTCTACCAACTGAGCTACTGTCGCTAGTTAAATCATATGTGTAAATAATATATACACACATAGTGTAAACATGTAAGTTATGTCAGGAAAATGTTCCTCTTAAGTATGAATCAAGACTGGTCAGAAAAGAAAAATGACAAACATTGTTCCTTGTACCTTTTCCAGACAGACTCTTTGCTTGGGATCCAACCCAGAGAAGACTGCTGTAGAATAGTGTAACTAAAGACACGACAGACGCCAAGGTTTGTCTGCTGTAGCTCATACACGTGTTAGATACAGACCGCAGAACACCTGGGGAAATGATCAATAATTAACCAAAAGAGACAGAATTTCAAAGGTTATACATTGCGACGAGCATTACCAGTTTTGTTTCTCCGACTTCTGTCTCTGTAGTATATACTGGTGAGAGGTGAGGATGAGGAGGAGAGCACATCTGTGGAGGCTTCTTGTAGATAAGAGGAGGAGGAAGATGTTTGTGTTGCGAGTACACCACTTCTCTGGTGGTGCACACAGTCCTTACACAAGAAACCATTAGCAACGGCTGTATGAGATTTTGAGGAATTGGCACTGCAGCCGCCATTGACACTGATAGTGTGGTCAGAGGCTCTTTCTGAAAATAGGAATGAATGAAAATAGCTATGAGTCTTGAAGATTGTTTGGTGCACTTAAGCATTTACCCCAGCACATACCTCTGTGCTCATGCACCGTGGAGGTGGTAGTTTTGATACTGCGCTGTCTGAGTTGAGACTGATCCAAAACAGAGGACTGCAGAGAGGCGTCAAAAGCTGCACTGGTTTCCTGAACTTGACTGGTGTGTTTTATTGGCGTACTAACAGCTGAAAATGACAAGGCGACTCTCGGTGTTGAAACCTGACTCAAGGATAATGACCGGGAAGCAGACTGCTGCTTTCTGCTTCGAGAGGTTCTAAAACAGAAAGATACAGCTTTTAATACAGAGCCTCTAAAATATTTGTATTCATGCAGAAGTAAATAGACAAACACTCTTACCGCGTGTCTTTCCTGGAGCTGCTGCTGTAGCTGCTGCTGCTCTGGCTGTATGAATAGTCCACCACATCGCTGTTGCCCAGCTGCTCCGCACTGTTCTTCAGGCGCAGGCTCCTGCGAGACATCTTGGGGGACTCGTACACAGGAGCAATCTGGTGCTCTTTCTCAAACTCTAGGGCTGTCGTTGAGTAGCTGGAGCTATAACAAACAAAAACGTGCCATCAAAAACAGCATTGAGAAAGTCCAAAACACCCGCAACAGTGCAAACGAAAGTCCCTGAATAGCGCAGTGCTCGTTTCCTCTAATGACACTGGAGCAGGACAGGAAGTGACTCACTCACAAGAGAAATACAACACAAAAGAGTTGACTGTTCCCTTGTGGCAAAGTATCCAGAAAGGCTCACTCAAATATGCAAACAGTGATAGAATTCTCCTCTGTGGCCTGTTGCACACCGATCAGAAACACACTACACATGTTGCAAAGCAGTTTTCCATGTGCAGAGAGCGCTGATGACTCAGGACGCCACACCCACCTGGCAGAGCAGCACCAGAGAGACCAGTAATCTGTCCTGACAGAGGAGTTAGAGCCACAACAGCTACAGGTACGCCAGGCAACCAGTCACTGGTCCTGAGAACAAAGTGAGCATTGTGCCGGACCAGTCCACTGTGTATTGGCTGTGTACAGGGAAAAGTAACATTCACTATTGGAGCTATCTGCTCTCTGAGGACAGACGTTGGTCTTCCTATCACACACTCAGGGACGGAAACTGACAAGATAATGTTTGCACTATGAAACCACATGCTAAACGTATTTCCCACAGATGACAAAACACGATTTGAACGCACACTATGCAGAGTAGTGATCTTGTCCTCTTAACACTCGCTCTAAATCCTGTGGATTACTCTGTCTCACTCAGATCCAATTATACACCAGTGCTTAGGCACAGGGCAGGACCAATGTTAACTTAAATTTCATAGAAGGCAAAGAAACTATCAAATACATGCTATAATGTGTGCGATAATGTGCTAGACACAGCTGCGTCGATCTCCCTGGACACAGGAGAGATGGTCCCAGTCGGAGGAATACAGGATTTACAGAGTTTGTGCTGCTGGACTGTTACATAAGAAATGTTGGCAGTTTGGCTCTTCCCAAATTGAGCAGAGAAAGTCCACACTAAAAACCAAAAAACAAAAATCCTCATCATTTCTTCATCCTCATCCTAAAAAGGTGTTTTTATTTTGCATGTGCAGCCGAGAAAAGATCAGTGAAAAAGCAAAGGTCAGCCAGAAGAGATTTTCCTCAGAGCTGTAGTTCTCTTGGTGCAAAATAGTGAGGAGCACCAAGGACGTTTGCATGGTACGCAAAACAGTGCTTTTATGAAACGGACTACAACTAAAAACAACCACTAATAATTTTCTTTTTGAATCTCCACAATTCATTAAATGTTTGCTTATTTGCAACAAGGATCTCTGGTAAATGTGCAAGCAAACAAAAACAAAAACTCTGCCACCCTGTTTTTTTCCCAAAGCATAAAGTGAACAATGTGTTCTTTCCACCACAAAACGTTAAACTATTTCAAGATTCAGAAATTTAAACCACATTTCATTGGGTTGGCAGAGTTTTTCCAATTGTCCCTCCCATCTGGTTCCCCCTCCCTCAAACTGAACAATGTTCCACCCCACTCCTTCTACAGCACAGTATGCAACACTACCACAATAAACACGGTCAGCCGTCTCTCTCATGAACACAAGTGCCAGCCACACATGTTAAGGCTGCAGGATGAATGCAATAATTAATAAAGACATACAATTATTATGGAAAAACAATAATCACCAAAAACAATTCTGCTGATATTTTGCTAATTAAATGCACATCTGAATACACTGTTCATAAGAGAATACACTATTACACATTGACTGCATTGATTAAACCACAAGGCACAAATTGTTAAATCAAAAAGGATATTGTATGTCAGGAATGTATCAGATGTCAATTTCAAATGAATGATCACAGGAGCCTGGCCCTTCTTAGAATGTAAGATAAAACATATTTCAAACTAGGATTGCAACGAGTTAATCCACTGGCCTTTCATGACGTAAGCAAGGAATTGATTAATTAAAAGAATTGCCAGATTAATTTGGTAAAATAATCATTAATTACAGCCCTATTTAAAACTGAATGCTTGTTTCTAAAATGGACATTTTGGATAATCACATTTTTAGTTTACTTCATTTATGTCATTTCCCAAATAAAGAAAACTAAAGGAGTTTCCCTGATCCGTGGCAGTGGTCCCCTCACATAATCAACATTCTTTGGTGCCTAAGCAGGTCAGATCCAGACTGCCACACACACACATCTACCTCACACCCAAGAGACATCTCCCATAAAACATGTTCATGACCAACTTCTGTTGAGACCTGTTTCAAATCACTGAAATTCAACTGGATCCCGTTAAAAGATGGTTTGAATTCCTCTTACAGCTATAGGCTTGTCAACATTTCAAAACTACTTTCCATACCCATACATTTTTGACAAAATCCCAAATAGCCGACACATTTTATGATAAAACAAATGGGAAAGTTAAGCATTTGTTTTATCGCTAGGGTCTACAAGCTGAAGAGCGATAATAAAACAGGGCAGAGACTAGAGGATGACACACATTTCGAGGACATAGCCTTGCTGAGAAATGCCAGAGTGAAGTGACAGCAACTCAGGACAGCATTCCTCCACAAGCCACAGAACCATCTACCAGGGGAAACACTAATCATTTCTACACACAAAGGTTGATTTGTGCTTCGCATCAAGAGTGGGCATTGAACTAGTTTGAAATAAACCTTGACAAAAGAATGTGCATTATAGAAAAATCACTTAAAAAAGAAGAAATACCTGTTGATTTTTGATGCAACTGTACCATATAGTAGCATCAAATTTCAACCCTCAGTTGCTCTACTCTTAAAAATACACAAAAAACCATGAGGCTGAGTCATACAAACCACCAACACAAACATTGGAGGGAAAAAAAAATGAAAGACTCGAGTAAATATGCAGCTTGCCTTGGACTAAGTATGCGACTCAGTGAAAGCTTGTTACCTTGTTGTATGACAGAAATGATTGAATTAACATAACAAATATCTAATTACATTATCTTGAATTGGCAATACTTAAAAAGCCATCAGAGCACATGACTCACGGCAGACACAATGGCACAGGTTGTAACGTGCTAAAGGCAGTAGTGAGAGTACAGTACTTACCTCAGGGCATACGTATAGCCGGTGTTGTCCGGAGCGCACAGCGGCGGCGTGTATGTATGTAATTGGGAAAAATCCATGTTCATTCTTCTTTGTTTAGACTGAAAAAGGTGGGATCCAATGGACAAGACTAAGTTACACATGCGAGCCAGTTAAGAAATGCCCTACATGTTGGCTCCTTTGCTACAGTAAGTCTAATCTTTTGGGCAAACTGATGAGCTCAAGCTTGGTTTTATACAAACAACAATAAGGCAGATTAATTCCCGTCTCTTAAGCACAACTTATAATAGAAGCTTCCACACGAGGGATATCCCAAACTTGTCTAACTCCACTCTTTCCACTTTTGAGCCACAGAAAACAACTGCACATTCCTCGCCTGCTTAAAGACCAAACTACTGCTGTAATCTTGACAGGACTTGCTGACCTCTTGCCGCATGTTGGCTGTGGTTTGTTGACGGACACACGACAGGGACGAAGTGAAGAATAAGCGCTTGTCCGAGTAGATGGCAACTGTCTCCAACAACTGGTACACACGGGTCGAGAGCACAACTAGTCCCCTCTCTGTCGTAAGTCCAAAAAGAGCAGGCGCCTAGTTGTTCCTGCCACTGTCTTCCACGCACTGAGCAGAGCTGTGTTATGAAACCAACACAGCCAGGACAAGGGGTGGGGCAGAGATTTGGGCAATAGGCGGGAAACCACTGGGCTGCCTCCAGTCAAACCTGCTTTATGTAAATAGACAACATGTGGATCCAGCGTGTAGGTCAATGTGCCGTGTTGCTTGACAGTGCCGCTTTCCACTATACCCCGAGCTGGGACGGAAAAGCATGTTAAATCAAAAACTTTCAAAGCTGGAAAAGCATGGATCAACAGATGGCCATTTTCTCAAACCTACCACTACAATCTCATGTATAATCCTATCCAAATCCACATTGAAATCGGCGAGTTGAAAGGGATTTATACCTGGAAACCAATGGAAGAACTTTAAACCAGACAGGATTATTGTGTTTTGACTAGGACTACAAGACCAGATTGCAGGAATTCCACATTTTAGTAACACTTACATAAATAAAACCACAAAACAAAGCTTGAGTTCACCAGAGAGAACAGAGATATGTCCTAAAAACTGGCATTTTCCCACGGTATAGACTCACTCTCAAGTGTCTAACATGAAGTCACAGTCTTCAATGCAAGATAGTTAGTTTGGGTGGTGGGGTTATCTGTGTGGGGCTGGCTGCACTTACTGACCAGCCAGGCCACTCTCATATAACCCAATCCTATATTTAGATGTCATGTATTCAGGCAACACCGTCAGTGGTCAGTGACAGACGTGGGACAACGCACCAGGCTGACTATGTATTTACAGTCCAGGGTATCTACGCAGATTCAATGTTGCAAGAACCCACTCTGTATATTAATGGCAACAAAATACACGTGTCAAATGTTCATATGCAATTGTCACTGTGACTGAAGTCTACTGTCAATACAAGGCCTGTGTATTTAGGTTATGAGCCAAAGGAGCCAAGGGCTAGGATGTAAACAATCTAGGATAAAATGTCAGATCGCATAGTAAAGCAGTAATAAGACTTGCCCGCTTGGTTAGACTCCATGTAGGCTATATGATAATTACTCTTTAGAAAACGTAAATCCAGTGGACCATCAACGCATCACGTCATATGCGCAAACTTCAAAAGAGCGAGCCGACATCAAAAGGCACGGGCCAAATCCACCGGCTACAGAAATAAAAGGGAAACGCTGTGACGCTGTTCTCGTAAAAAAAAAAAAAAAAAATGCCTCAAGTTCGCAAGTTGTAACGGGCTGTTATGCTAGATGCACAACACGCAAGATATCCAAAATGGCTTCCCGAGTGCAACAAAGCCAGAAGGATCGCTGTTGAGCTGTTCCCTGGCTCTTCCTCCCACTCCCACCGCTCCCAGGCCCTGGATTGTGCAGGCCATGCTTCAAACCCATTGGAGGAGAGTATGCACTGACTGGACTGGCCCTGCAGCGCTCAGGAATCACTATTGTTATGTTGTATGGGTGAAACCTTTGGCACGTCTCAAAGGGGAGTGAACAGTCTTCCATCTGTCACTCCACCTCCTCCCAGCATTGAATTACCGATATTAGAGGAACTGGATGTATTATTATATGAAGCTGCGGTGCCTAATTTTCAAACCAAACAATATATAATTACAGAATATGATCCATTAAATCCTCGCTCTGGTTGTATGTACATTAGTTTTCAGATGCATGCATTTTGTCACATTTTATATGAGCCTTTTAGACAGAAAAGTGAAAAAGAGAGGACCACCCTCACTCAGCTCTCAATCATAATACGATTTCAAATACAACAAAGACAGCAAGTTGTGGTCTAATCTGTCCAAAACAGTTTACCTTTAACAGACTCTTTGGATGTTGGCGGGGTATGATTATGATAAGAGTCCGGTAGTGGGGAAATTCCAGTGTTGAATCACAAATTACGCAACAGTAGGAGTGAGGAGCGAATAACACAAAATAATAAAGAATTGTATGTACAGCAAAACTCTGATAATTGTATCTTTTTCTTTAGCTAAATATCTCTCCAAGCATACAAAGTATAAACATATAAATCATACACCTATATTTCAGTTCAAATAAAAAATATACTTTTATATATACGTATGTAGTAAACCAAATATTCAGAGTTAAAAACCAAAGTACAAACCTATACATCTGTAATACACTCTAATGTAAGAATGCTGAATAAGTCATTAGATCTGTTGGTTCAAATATTCTAGTAATAACTTGGTAGAGAGATCACGGTCAATTGTTGGTGATCACTGAGTTAAGCTATAATAACAACCTGTCATTTACACACAACATTTCCATCCAGGTATGTCCTGGTCTTATGACTTCCAGGCAACACAGGGTCTTTCTGAGTAGAGTTTGCAAGTTTTCCTGATGTGTCAGAGAGTGTTAGTTTTTATAGACTCCTTCAATATGGGATCACAATTCCCAAGATAAAAGGAGGTTCATATGTGACAGTGACACTCATTTGGATCCCACTTAATCAACAAAGACTCCACAGTGGGCATCTGCAGGACTGTCGTCATAACACATGTTGAGGCAGCAAAGCACCAAGCAGGTACACTATGAAATAACTCCTAAATCCAAGAAAACCTGAAAGCACATTATTGAAAGAGCTGCAACCAATGTGAATATAGTAATAATTGGTACAGGCTTAATTCTGGCACACAAACGTAGATGTTGGCTAATCATAAACAGTATTTTATTACCACACCAAACAGTAATTTTGAACCCATGGTTAAATACACAGGCTCCTTGCAATGCATTTGTTTAATTTGAAAGCAGTTGTGAAGATCTAGGCCATTTGTTAAGGTCAGTTTTGTTTTATTTTAGATACCAGAAAACAAGCAAGCATAACTCAGGCTAATTTAGTCTCGGGTGCCATCTAGTGGACAGATGTCCTCACTATCACGAATTACATGACATTTATCCGCGAATTAGTTTGAGTGAGCTTTAGATATAAAGTCATCTCTGTCTGCCAGCTTCAACTTTTGCACCCATCTTTAAACCGTCGTAAAATCAGGCGTTGTTACGAAAATACACAAATATGAAGAGAACTGGTCAGTGCGTGAAAGAGTTTGGGATAAGACAACTCACATGAGATGCTAATCTGTCTGCCATGAGAGGACGAGGTCACAGTCCGCGTTGGTTCCTGAATAAATCCTTGTAAGCAGCAGAATAACTTTGGTGAAGAAGATCCAGACTCAAACTAACTTATTTTATAAAAGTGTAATTCAAAAAGACAGAAATATAACACTCCTCACGCTACCGTTGGCTTTCCCGCACACACTCACATTTTCCGTTGTAACCGCGCATGACGTCATTACGTCAGTCCTTGTAAGGTTAAACTGACCAAATATGGGTTAGGTTTGGTTTACACACTGACCGAGTATACTGCCTCCAGTGGCGCCTGCTCATTTACGTGATATGATAATCATTCATTTATTTATTGATTAGTCTGTTGCTTTCTGTCATTTGTTTTGTTTTATGCTATATATGTTAATTAATGATGTTCTCAAGATAAATTTCACTTACTGTATGCATATTTATATACCCGACCCAAGTCAGTAAAATAGTTATTTACAGTCTATGGTCAGTTGTCAATTCTTGAATAAATAAGCACAATATCAATAAATAGGTTTACTTACACAATAAAACAAAAAAATAATGACATAATTTGATTCTTCACTTATTGCTAATTTCAGTGATGGGTCAGTCCTGTTTACCTTACATTCTGATTACTAATTGACAATTTAGATAAAGTAAAATGTAAGGACAGAATGATGCGTAATATTTCCTATATATAGGCAAGGCAAGGCAAGGCAAGTTTATTTGTATAGCACAATTCATACACAAGGCAACTCAAAGTGCTGAACAAGATATTAAAATCATAAATAAGAACATTAAAACGAAAGATAAAAATATAAAATCCCTCAGTTGTATGCACAGCTAAACAGCACCGTTTTTTAACAGAGAGGAGGCCTGTCTCACATCTTCAGGAAGATTGTTCCAGATTTTAGCAGCATGAATCTGAAAAGCAGCCTCCCCATGTTTAGTTCTGACTCTGGGCACTAACAGGAGTCCAGTCCCTGTGCTCCTCAGAGTCCGGGCTGGTTCATATGGGACTAACATGTCACTAATATATTTTGGTGCGAGGCCATGGAGAGATTTGTACACAAGCAGAGCTGTTTTAAAGTCTATTCTCTGAGCCACAGGAAGCCAGTGCAGGGACCTGAGGACCGGACTAATGTGGTCGTACTTCCTGGTTCTAGTCAGGACTCGAGCTGCTGCATTTTGAATGTACTGCAGCTGTTTTACAGCCTGTTTGGACAGACCTGTGAGCAGGCCATTGCAGTAGTCTAACCTACTGGAGACAAATGCATGGATAAGAATCTCCAAGTCTGCTTTAGACACTATGTTTTTGATCCTGGCAATGTTTTTTAGATGGTAAAAAGCTGCTGATGTTACTGATTTGATGTGGCTATTAAAATTTAAGTCTGAGTCCAGTATTACCCCTAGATTTCTGACCTTGTTTGAAGGTTTTAGGGAGAGAGACTGTAGGTGACAGATGACGCTCTCTCTTTGTTTCTGGGGACCAAAGACAATAATTTCAGTTTTGTCTGCGTTTAGGTGAAGGAAGTTGTTTTGCATCCACTCACTGATCTGTTGGATACAGTGAATTATATATATATAATCTTACTTTCTATTAATAGTGCAGCACACGTGTTTGTTTACTGGACAAACCAGAATGACTGGACTTCCATTTCTCAACTTTGTTGCTGACGTCATCCTTTTGTCTGTGGATGTCTTAGCTTACTATTCTCATTTTACTTTGGGCTCTGGATTTGGTAGCTCCAAAACCATGAAAATACCCGTGTTTGTGTACTTTTTTGGGTTCATCTCCTTTGGACTGTCCGAACAGATAGAACGCAGTAAGTAGCATATTTGAAATGTGTCTTTATAAGGAGGAACATTTTGAACCGCATTTTGATAGTCTTGATTTGATTTTTGATTGAACTTTTTTTTATCCCACAGAATTATTGTGTGAAAGTTGTCTGGCTGCTGCAAAGGGTATGCCATGTATTAATGTGTGGTATGTTTTAAGAAAGACACTACTGTACTTGTACTAAAATTAACAATTGTATCATTTCTTCAGAGATTGAGACCGCTCTGAAGGATGCCCCAATCTCAGGCAGAATGGTTGTCATAAAAAAGTTAATCAGAGGTTATGTGTGTAATAAACTCGCTGAGGATAAAAGACCTTCCTGTATGCAGTTGTTGGGTAAGACCTTTCAGTTTTCAAAAATAGAATTTAAGAACGTAAGGGCTGAAACAACTAATTTCATTGCTTCAATTAATCAGATTTATTATATCCTCTATATGTGAAACTGTTAAACCTCAATTGGACAGAACTAATTGCAGCTATTCTTCAGAAGTGTGCACCACCGCTGTCATTAATGTGTTTTATTTAAATCCAGGCATGTTTCGGGATGAGTTCTCTCAAGCTCTCGCTGGCAAAGTCAGCGATCCCAAGCAGCTGGGTGTTGTTCTTTGTTATGAGCAATCCAAAGCATGTGTAGGAGTAAAACTTCACTCCTTTAAGGTAAACTCTTCATGTCCATCCATGTACTAAATCTGACAAAACCTACAACATGGTTTCTGATTCTGCAACAGGAACATCCAAACCTAAACCTTGAAAGGGACATCGATGATCTCCTTCGTGATAATAAAGAAAAGGTGCGGTTTGTAAAGCCCATCCACTCAACAGGAATGCGAAAGGAGGAGTTGTGAAAATGTCATGTTTTATGTTTTGTTTTGTTTTTTATCTATCAAACAGGCTTTGACAAATAAAACGTTTGTTGTCAATGCAGTGTAATAAATGAACAGATGCAACAGGATACATGTGGTTGATGTTCTGTCCAGAGTTAAAGGTATAGGGGGATTTTCTACTTCCGGGTGGATCATGAAGACTATTGGTCTGCCCAATTGTCAATCATCCATCCATCCATTTTCTTCCCCATAATCCATTTTTGGGTCAGGGGGGTGCAGTCAGAGCTGCGCCTAGTACACAGAGCACCAGCCCCTCACTGATCCTCTCAGGTCCACAGGAGCTGAGATCTTTCAGTGGGGGCTTTAGGCAAAGCGGGGTTAAGTGTCTTGCCCACGGACACAACAACAGCAGTCATCAGTGGGAGTCGTGAAGTAGGTCTTGTGGTGGGTTCAAACCCACGACCTTCAGGCCCAAAGGCCAATGCTCTACCAACTGAGCCACGGTCGCCCATAATCGTCAATCATTCTGGTGATATGTGCTTGTCAAATAAGATGAGTTTTGTTCAAGTGGAGAGGGTGGTTAGGAAAATCCTCCTACCTTTAAGACCATATTGTCCAAAATAACCTTAAAAACTGAGGTTATTCATTTAAATATGAATCATATACTTCTGTTTTTCGGTCTAATTTGCCTTGTGGCGTTGGATAGAACAGTATTATGCAGATGATAAGCATTCCATGTGTGTAAAAAGCAGGTTCTTTGGACCCGGATTTAAAAAGGACCACTGGATTGAAAGCGAATCAAAAGCAATATAATTATTATAAAATACATTAACAACAAGTAAATAAAAGCAATAAAAACCAAAGCTAAAAGAAGGACTAAAAAGCTAAAACGGAGGCTAAAACGCAGGCTAAAACACGTTCCCACGGCCTGGGCCGCCAGACCACGGGGCTCTCCCCTCCCGTGTCTGGCTCCCATGTCTCGTTCTCTGTTCCTCTCCTCCTCCCCATCTCAGTCTTTTATTCTCAAGGCGCAGGTGTCTTCATTGCTCACGTGGGGAGCCGGGGTGCTTCAGGTGGTGTTAGTTAAAATCAATATTAAAAGCACACAAACACAACATGCATAAAATATGAATAAAACCATATTAAAACCCACCACTCATTTTGCACCCCCTGACACATGCCTCATGTTGCATTTATAAATAAGAGACATTCTAAAACCATGTGTTTTATGATCTATCGACCTCTGAGTGGCAGGCCAGTCCTTTTAAATCTACTTTTAGGGGTCTTCTTGGGGGACCAGCTAAATAACACATGGGTTCTTCTGTTTGGATTTTGTCTGCCTAGCCTTGGCCCCTGCTGACTTTTGCTTTATTGAACCCACTCCATCAGGAGTGGGTTGACACTGGAGTCTGCCAGTCTACGCACTACTTGTTTAGACAAGCAGGGATGAATCCAGACCAAGAGACAGCTGGCCGGAGACACTAGGTTAGAAAAGCATGGATTCTTTTTTAGGTGCAGACGGGAGAAGGAGACCAGATGGAGGAAGGCGGATCACGGGACCCCGGAAGCTGCCTGATACCACGCCCCTTCTTCCCCATTGCACATTTGATATATAGTAGATAGTTTGAATGTGTGGTGAGTTAGTTTTTTGCGGACCAGGGGCAGTATATGGCTTGATGTGGAGCGCCCACTCAGAGTCATACTTTTAGATTTTATATAGAGAATAAGGGATAGTTATTTTTGGTCCGAACAGCTGTTTTAGATTCTTTTTGTATTAGGGAAATAAACCTTTTTGAATTTAACTTTCTGAATCATGGTCATCTTTATAAGGGATTTTGAACACGTAATTTTTTAATACGTTAATTGGTGACCCTCGACGTGATCCCTTTGATGACTTTCAGCCTTCCCTTGGACTCTGCATCTCTCCTCAAAGCGGCTGCTGAACTGAAGGTAAGCAGATACCTTTTGACTAATTAAAAATCTGCATATTGGACTAAACAAATTAAGGGGAGAGAAGTTTTGTCCACGGAGGAGCTAATTCAAAAAGTAAAAATAGTAAAAGCCTAAAAAGTAGTTAGAACCCTGCGAGAATATATTAAAAGTAAAGATTTTTTGAGAAGCCTTGCCAGAAACAGGAAAGCCCGCTGTGACTAGCGTGGTTGACGGACGCGTCAACACACAAGTTAGGTTTAACCCATTGGAGCCTGGGGGAATTTTGGGCCCCCCCGAAAAATGGAGACAGGCATTCAAATCGAGCAGCTCTATAGACAAATAGAGGCTCAGATTTTGAGTGGTCTGGATAAAAAATATAGGAACAAGGCAAAACGAAAGGCTGTGAAAGCATGGGAAAAAATACAGAACAAAAGGGTCATACCTGAGTATATGACAGCGTCCGCATTGGCTAAGATATTGCGGGAAGAGGAAAATAATTTAAAACAGGATAAACTTGAGCTTGAGGGAAAGCAGGGAAAGAGTTGGAATGAGCGTAGAAAAATTAAAAAGGAACTAAAAAAGGCTGAGAAACTGAGGACCAAGGTACACAACTTTGCTTTGGCTGCCACGGCGTTGGCAAAATTACCTATGGTAAGTAAAGACAAGGAAACAGAAAACGGAGCAATGCCGGTGAGTAATATATACCCATCCCTACCCACGGCTCCACCAAAGTATTCTCTAGGTTTAGAACCAGGTAAGCCAAATCTAATATTGCCACAATATACATTTTCAGGAGAAGTGGCGGTAGGAAAGAGAGGGGACAATGACTTTGTAGACAGGGAATTTGACGAAGGGACAGAAGAGGAGTCTGTGGGGGACAATAGAGATCCGAGTCAAAATCCAGCTGTCAGCCTCCCGCCACAGCTCCCACACACCCCTCACCAACCCCCATCTATTCAAGAGGAGCTCCTGCACTCTCTCAGAAATTTTAGAGCTAGGAAACCGACCTTTGAATGCACCACAGACAGAGTTGAGAGAGAAGAAACCGCAAGTAGGACCCATGATTACGAGACCGCTAGACAGGAGAATGCAAAATTAATTAATAAAGCCGCACGCAGAGCCATGACTAGGACGGACAGTGAAAATGAAAAGGGAGACGGTGCCATGGCCCCACCAGTACTTAAAGCTAAACAGGCTAAAAAAGGAGCTAAATTCTCTTCTGACAGTAGTGATGACGGAGACCAGGAGCCTGGAGAAACTAGACCGGTGGCAAGCAGAACCAGGTCTCAGAAAAAATCCATGTTCCCTCTGAGACCAGGACGAGGCGCAGCTGGGGAGTACCATCCTTTTTCTGTAAGTGACATGCAGACTATAAAAGACAAAATGCCTCCATTGTGTCAGGGAGCTGGAAACTGGATTTCCAGTCTCAACACATGGTTTACAGGTCATGATGTCGCGATGGGTGACGTCCGGGCAGTGTTGGCAGCATGCAGTAAACCTTGGGAGAGAGACGCTATTGAAAGACAAGCTGGTCTGCTGATGTTTGTGATTCTTCCAGATTTGGCCAATATGCAAATGCCTTGTATGAAGCACTGAGGGAAAACTTTCCAACTCCGCTGTCTTCTGCCCCTCGTGAGTTAACTTGGCTGGAGTCTGAGGACCCACTTGTATTTTATGACAGGAGTGTGACCAAGTGGATGGACACAGTAGGAAGACACCCTCACAAGGTCAGTGAAGTCATGCCTTTTAGAGCAGCTATTTTGAATGGTTTACCAGAAACAATACGCTCAAAACTTGAGGACAACCCAGATAATATTAACCCAGATTCAGCACAGTGGAAGACAAATTTAATCTTTCACATTAAGCGATATGTTGAAAATAAAACTAAAGAAAGAAAGAGTGTTGAAGATATGACTTGTCAACTTTTGAAGTTACAGCTTAGTGAAGCGAGAAATAAAGCCACCCAAAATAAAAAAGGAACTAGTAATCAGATGACTAATATGCCTGCTGGACCTGCGACTCAACCACGACAGGACTGGACAAGGGGAGGGGCCAGAGGTGGTGGGCGTGGGGGCCGGGGAGGAAGAAGGGGTGGAAGCTGGAGAGGGGGCAGGGATGTGTGTCGGCTCTGTTACAGGCACGGTCACTGGGCGAAGGACTGCCCCTTTGAAGGAGAGGCCTCCTACTACCATGGAGCGCCTGAGATGGTGCGTGGGAGGGGCCCCCAGAGAGGCATGGGACCCAGACCAGAGCGCGCAGGCCCTCCCTCCCCATGGACGGCTCCGAATGACAACCTGGCCCCGAGAGATGGACAATATTTCCAGCAGGGGAACTACTGGGGCGAGTATGAACATGAACAATCTTACTAGGGCTGCCTAGGAAATCCAGGGGACAAGGTGCTTGCAGAGCCTATGCTTCCCATAAGGGTGGAGGACGACAACCTGATGGCCCTGGTGGACACTGGCGCCACCTACTCTACCATCAATACAAAGATACGCCCTGTCCTGCTCTCAGAGGAGCACATCACCCTGGTTGGATTTTCTGGGACACCTGAGGTACTGCCACTCACTAAACGTTTAAAGACACAAATTGGAACACAGACACTGTGGCATTCTTTTGTAAATGCTCCAAAGACACCTGTCAACCTGCTGGGAAGAGACTTATTGACTAAAACCAATGCGTCTATTCTATGTGGACCGGATGGTCTACAAGTGACTTTTCCAGGGGGGCAAATTTACAGATGTGTGACCGGTGTATCGATGGACTCCTGCTGGCTTCTGAGAGAAGAGATGCCAGACCAGTATGCAGACATATACTGGGTGAGACTAGACCCAGAAAACAAGTCCACGGACAATAATGGTGTGCAGTCTGTCTTCTTCAAGTGGAAACCCTGGATAAATTCTTTGGCCTCCTACCACCTCCCACTGGACCCTGCCCACTTGACATTATTCTATGACAGAGACCAAGACTTAATGTACAGAGAACAATTCAAACAAATTGAAAGTGATAGGTGGACATTAGAATCAGATTACATTTATGTTGGGCCTGAGGGTGTGGCGGCCCATACACGGCTGCTTCCTGAACAGTGT